ATTGCTGTTCCAAAACAACCGTCTGTGGAACAGGCCGATTCTCTTGCCTGCAGGCAGTATTATCTTATTAATATTTCATTAGTCTATTCAGTCATCCAACCCTTCTAAGTAACGTCCATGGTAATGCCATTTTTATTATATTAAAACTGATCTACACCCCTTAATATTTGCCTGATCAAAAAATACTGAACCTTAGTTTTGAATAGATCCCGATGATACAATTCTCCTCCTGCTCACTTCCAGTATTATTTTTACTACAGCACAATGTTCTTGGATTCAGAATCTAAGTATTTATCCTGTAGACTCATCACAAGGGTAAGGCAAATAACAGACAATTTCTTTTTTTTTCTGTGTCATTTGGGAAATAACTGAAACAATTTGAAGACTGCAGCAGTGGACATTCTTGTTACCACAAGCCATTTTGGCACTCACACAGAGTATGACGGTTAGCTGAGAATAAACAGAAACATAGAAAATACACCTGCCAATGTAACAGCATTAGATGTGTCCGTTAAATGGTGTTGAATTACGGCACCTTAAAAAAGTGGGGCAGAAAAATGATATTTCCCTCATCAAGACAAGACCAGTGGACTTGTCTATTTCTTTATAGCTTGCTCATCTTAGTTCTCACACTGTGAGAGTCCATCAAAGGGCCACCTTAGAGACAACAGACATTATATGCTGACATATACTGTGAAGTTAGACCGAGAAAACTGTCTAAAATAATGACAGGACTACAGCCACGCATGCTTGGTTAAACAGCGGGGAACCTTGTGCTTTAAAAGTGTCGATGCCGATGACCTCCAACATGATTAGATTGTGAATATTTTGTTTGGTCAGGGAGAAAAAGTGACATTTTTCTGTCATCATCAGATGCTTGCTGGTCTTGGTGCAGTCATGTTGATGCAAAAATCCAAGTTTAATATAGTCTTTGTTTAGAATGCACACTTCATGTGATTGTTGGTGGGGCCTTCCCTCTAATTATCCCTGACCCCAGTTTTAGTGTATTTACCAAATGCTTTTAGATACTTCTTCCTATATTTTCAGAGAGGCTCATTCAAAAAACAGGAGGTGATCAAATTGTGCAACTCATCTTTAGTCAAACAGATCCAGTGACATGCAAAGTGTTGTCTTGGTCCTAGCTGTCAGTAAGAAGCAGGGTACCCCCTGGACGAGTACCCCCTGGTCAATAGGCCGGTAAGATACACTGTCTTAAAGACCATTTATAATCACCAGTTGAGTTTACAAGGAGGTATTTGGACTGTGAGTGGGAGCTGTTTTTGAAGAGAAGGCACACTTCAAGCTTAACACTGAAAATAAAACTTAAAAAACTGCTATATTCAAGCTCACAGGTGATAACATGGTGGCAGTGTTTTTTTAACTCACTTTGTGTACACAGAGCAGAATGAAGAGGAGTAAACTTGTCAACCAACTGAGAACAAGCAGAAACAGCATTAAAATCCTGGTCCATTATCACAGTAAAACAAAAAGAACAGCACTGTGAAAACAGACACAGTTTCAATACAAGTGGAGAGATAGAATAAAATAAAACATGAATATCACTGAAAAATCATAGTACTACCATTTGTACAATTTTTAATGTTAATTTTTTTCCACGGAATAAACATTTTAAAAATTAAGAACCACCATCTGTGCTTCTTGTTGAAGGCATCAGTGTAATTTAAAGTCCCTCTTCAATCATTTTTATTCTAGACATTGAGGAAAAAAAAGTATTTCTCGGTACACCAAACAAAAGCATAGTATAGTGAATAATGATGGGTTGTAAACAGGTCAAATTAGAATTTGAAAATCCCTTCTCAATGACTGTGGAAAAAGCCCAAAGCTTCTCATTAAATTGTGTGAGAGCTTCACTTCAGCTGAAAAATATCTCTGCCAATGTCATTTGTTACTCAGTGGGGGGTAGCACGACACATCTGGATAATGGGATCCTCTCATCTGAATTCTGTTGTTATTCACATACTCTGAGGCTTAAATTTAATTTCAAAATCTCAATCTTTAACCTGTGTACAATCACATAAAGGCTGCACGGTGGTGTGGTGGTTAGCACCGTTACCTCACAGCAAGAGGGTCCTGGTTTGAATCCCAGGGGGACTTGGCAGTTTGTGTGTGGTGTCTCCTTGTTCTCCCCGTGTGTGCCTGGGTTCTCTGTGGGTTCCTGCTACTGTCCAAAAACATGCATGTGAGGTTGTTAATTAATTCTAAATTGCCCCGGGTGTACCCTGCCTCTCACCCAATGACAGCAGGGATTGGCCCCAGGCCCCCCCTCACTCCCCGTGACTCCACTCGAAATCGGCAGTATAGACAATGGATAGACAATTCTATAATGAATGAGAATAACATTTAGCTTTTGCTGCCATGTTTTTGTATCTGGTGTTGTGGAAGTGGGCTGTGCAGTTAGGCTCATTACAAATATGATTATAAATTAGTATTATAAATAATATGATAACATAACAAGAATACAACAATGTTCTTAGTTTACCAGTTGGCATACATTAAGCATACCTTTTTTTGGCAGCAGACATTTTACATTTCATTGCAGGGATGAGGTTATATTTTCATCTCAAATTTTGTACCGAGGAATGTACTAGTATCACTAGTTAGAAGAAGCTTTCCTTTCATGCTTTTTTTGTAGAGGTGACATTCAGCAGGAGTCCAGATGAGAAGGGACCCCTATAGATTAGCCTTTAAGCATGACAATTGTTTCCCCATCTGCTAAAGGAAGCGCCAGCACAGAAATCTTTGCCCTGAATTTATCATCCTAGCAGCACGCTGAGCTTTAGACATGTGCAATAATAGCAAATATCTAATGTTATTCACACACTATGACAACTAAACATACTATAGTGGTACATGTTAACTTTCAAACATTTTTTCAGATAGTTGAGTTTTAAAGTATTTTATGCAAAATAACATTGCTGTTGTTTTTTATGGCCCTTACTTTTAATATTAATTGACAGTTATATGTATCCTTTATCCGTTCCTCTATTATAGAATAGTCCAGAATATTCATTTAAACTTTTATGCTTTTTATGAAAAGAGTGAATGTATATGCTTTCTGCTGCATTTAGATAACTATTTTAATGGAAGGTTAATTGGTCTACCTGCAGTTGAGTAATTGTATTGCATACGGAATGGGCGAAACTGCCCATCAGCAGCTGAGGCTCTGTTCAGTCAGCCAGAGCTCTGTTGCATGTCCTTCTCCTGCTCTCCTCTCACACATCTCATGTCATTCTCCACAGTTATGGTAAAATAAAGGAAAAGATAAAGGAGGAGGAGGCGGGTGTTTGGAAAACCCCTGACTGACAAAGTAAAAGTTGAATAAGGGCATCCACGCTTGCTTAATTGATAAGATAATCCGCAAGTTTGCCTGCATAACAAAGAGAAATGGTCAGGTGTTATTTAGGTCTCTTTTAATTCACATATATAAATTGCTACATTAACCTCAACCTTAGTCTATATTTAACAGAAAAAAAATACATATATTTAATGCAGAAAAGTGTCAAGCAACACACAAGGCTCTGCTAAAAAATATGTATATGTAATATGTAATATGTAATATATATATAGCATATAAAATAATAAATGTGTAGAAGGGAGATGATCTAAGAGATGGCGTGTGGAACTTTGACTGCATGATGAATTTATCATGCTGTCTTTGATAAATATGCGCTCGGCAGTGGGGAGCCTCGCACTAAAACGAGGATTTCCCAGCAGTAAAGTACCGTTATCACAATGTTCTTCACTTTATTCTGGCTGTAAGATTTTGTGTTGTGTTTTTTTAAGACCCCATTTATCGCTTTACAGTCACAGCAGTTTGTAAAAGTGGTTACAATCAACCACATTTATCTGTTCTATGATTTCAAAACTAAAATCAAACAGACAAACAGTTAAAAGTTTCAATTGCATAATTGCAATAATTTTCTGCGGCCCTCCTGTTTTTTTTCTGTTTTTTTAACAAAAGAGGTCCTCGTTACAGCACCCTGATGCAGCATATGGAGCTATATGGAGCTATATGTTGCCTCAGTTTACGTTCCATAGTCAAACATCCAATGTTGCCTCTGCCCAAACACAAATCTACCAGGCTTTCATGTCTTCCTTGCTATTGAAACTATCCTATGCATTTTGCATTGACAATGCATCATTACTGTTTGGGGGTTTTAATGCGGAGATCCTTCCAAAAGAACTCTGGCATGTTGAGGCACACCAGGCTTGTTATATTTAGTCAGACAGCAAGTCTGCTGCTAATGAATGCTGCTGGCAGGGTGTCTGTGAGCCCAGAGGAAACTACAGGGAACACTAGTAATATATGTCCTCTGTGAATACGAGCAACACAACAACCCAGACAGAATGACAGACAGACATGCATACAGAGAAAGACCATTAGTGCTGTTTTCATCGCTCAATCCCACATATTAGTACATGCCAATTTTATTTATCATCTCTAAAAATATTTTAGCTCCTTCCTACATTTTAGAGATAAAAGGAAACGCTGTTAAGAAACCGACAGTATTGTATAATAGCTGCTTTGCTGTTCCAACGACTGTGATGTCAAAGTTTGCTGTTTGCTGCACGTATCAATAGCTTTTGCAAAGACGACTATGAACAGTGCAATTTACAGAACCGTGACATCTGTGGGTCTCTTAAAATAATTTGTATGTTTTTTTTTGTTTTGTTTTTTATCTTAATCATAAAGTTCTGGCAATGTAGTTGTGATTTTTAGAATAGCCACAGAAACTAGATTAGGCAGGCACACAGAAACACGCAGGCTGCACATGTACACTTTAACAACCTTAAGGCAAACTTATTTTTTTCTAACAGTTTTATCTGTTCTGACGTGCAGGCATTGACCTTTAAACCAGGGCAAGTTTTCCCAACATTCGGTTGAAGTCAGAAAGAGGTGTTTTTCACTTTAACGTGTTTAATTAGTAGTGTTTCTAGCCATGTATTTTTTTCTTTGTTAGGTTTTCATTAGCAGATCATTGGATTGTTGCATTGAAAATATAAGAAGGCACTTTGGCACTGACACTGTCTCTCTCTTCTCAGGGTCTGACTTTCAGTGTAACACTCACATAATTCCAGTGAAGAATGAAGAAGGCGTGGTGATGATGTTCATTTTGAATTTTGATTACGTCATGGAGGAGGGAAGTGACCACTCTGCAGAAAACATAAGCCCCACATCCCCCACAAAGTCAGATCAAAGTGAGTATTTAATGTGAGTGATGTACTGTATATTGTGATATATTTTTCTCGGTTTGCCAGTTTAGGAGAAGGACATTGCCGTATGCGCACTGTATATATCTTTTTTGACACGGCACTTCTTTCTGTTGACGTCTCGTTTCCCAATTTTTTAAATAAGTTATTCCATGCCACAGGCTGCATACAGAAACATGGAGTTTGAGCATTTAAACTGGACATATTCTTCACTGGATTAAAACTAGTTGAAGCACTGGAAATTGTTAGTAAGTCAAAAGCAAAAAATTAAAATGTTTTACTGTTTGAGGCCCTCATCGGAGTATGGAAATAAGTTCTCAGTTCTAGATTTTTTTTAAGTGATTCAAACAAACAATTAACTTTTTTCTGTAGCAAAAAAAGAATGTGCAAGAATTGAAGAAATGCTAGATGAAAAAAGGGAGAAAGCATGCATCAGCTCACACAAATCAGTGCCACTGGCATAAGACTGTCAACTTCTCCTAAATCTGAAACTGATGAATGCATAGCCTGTACAAAGTAGCCTACAGCCTTGCAGACAAAAGATCAGGAAGGAGGAAACAGATGTACAGATGGATTTTTGTATGTTTGTCTCCTTAATAAACATCCCTTGGAACCCTAGGGTTGGTTATGAGAGCTCCTCTGCCTGAAAATAAAAACAATCTCAACTCATCTGTCCTTTTATCTATAGTAATGTATGGCCTCTCCACAGCTACACAAATCCAGGTATTTATTACATCCCTAAATTAATTAGATCCAGTTTAGCAGTTTGATTTGATTACAAAAATGAAAAATTAGAAATAAAGTAGAATAGTCGCCATGAAACAGTATAAAACTGTTTTTTGGGGGTTTATGTATTGAGCCCATTTTTAGTTGGCTCTACACAGTGTCATTGCTTTGAAACAGTGTTTCCCATACCTGGTCCTCATCACAAACGGCACCGCAAGTTTTGCATGTTTCCCAGCTCCAGCACACTTGATTTACATGAATATGTCTTCATCAGCCCTCTGCAGAGCTTAGAGATCTGAGGAGCTTATTTATTTACTGTGTGCTGGAGCTGGGAAACATAAAGAACATGCAGGACTGTGTGCCTTGAGGACCAGGACTGGGAAATACTGCTCTAAAAAACTATTTGAGGAATGTATAAGGCTCAGAACGTCTGTATTTATAAATAACTTGTATGAAGGAAAACGGTATCATCTGTGAATTTGTGAAGTTGTTGCACGTGGCAGAAATGAATTGCGTACACTAGATTTTGTTCCCTTAATTTCAGGCATGTTTCTGGTGTCTGTCACTCTTAAAAAGCTACTATTGCTTCGTCTAATACAAATCCACTGACTGGACCTTACTGCCTCATATTTTCCTCACACTCTGTGTCCACTTACATCCAACTCCCTCAACAACGAGACAGCAGACGTTGCAACAAGTGCTCTACATCCTACTTCCATTGGAGAAATCCTAACTTTCCATCCTCTTTGCTATGCTTTTGTTCCTAACTCTACATACAGTATATAAGCTTTTTCCTTTAATTCGGTTCTTCTACTAAGTCATTTTCTGTTTACTCATTGTTAACATGCATATGTCGTGCAAGATGGTACACTTCCTAAAACAAAGACAACTAATTTGTTTTTTAACCATAGCAGACATGAATTACATACACCAGATTTTTTATTCCCTTAGTTTTAGGCATGTTTCTGGTGTCTGTTACTCTGAAAACTGTGAATTATTTTATTAGCAAGCACAATACAGTTCACGTGCACAAGAAATAACAAGTACCATGTGCATGCAGGAGGGGAACAATCTGCTTATGTAACCCTGTCTTGTGGAAAATGCCTCATTAATTGTTTCTTGATGTTTTCTTTTGAGAGCAGCACTTATTAGTTTTTATTTGGATGTGTGTCAGCTGGTATAAATGTCAATGAGCTATCCTTTCTCTCTGATTTAAGATACTCTGCATCGTCTTTCTCACAGAGCTTTGCTCTCCTTTTTTTTAATTTCTCTGAGGCTCTGACATTCAGCCTGTGTTTTACTGTGTGTGTGTGTGTGTGTGTGTATCTCTGTGTGCACATGTACATGTATGGATGCCTATGTGTTTGTTGCTAACGTTGCTAATCAGAGTTGATGACTTGTGACGGTGTTTCACCAAAGGAACCTGTGGGTAAATGGGAAAGATGAACATATGATGTGACTTCGTATTAGCAGGATGAAAGAGACATTGTCTTGAGTACAAGCACACATGACACTTAACATGACCATAACATTGTCTTCAAGATGTTCATAGCTTCTGTTCATAAGTGATCAGTCAATTAACTTCTATTTGACCCAATAGTTAAATAACTAATTTATAGGGAATATCTGTGGCCCTGTTGTTATTTTTTTTGTTTTGTTTTGTTGTTTTTTTTCTGTCAACAGAAACAAGTTTTGTGGTTCACAACTGAAGGAATGTGTCTGGTAGCATCATAACAGGCTCAGTTATGATGGAGTAAGTTTATAGATTTCTTCCATTAATTTGCCATAAATGTTAAACAAGTCGTGCTGTGTGGAAAAGCACCATTCGTTTCTCACTGATGAGTCATGTCAAATCAGTCATGGCATCCCTTTCTATTCCTGTGTAATGTTGAACTCAAAGTGCACCCAAATGCTTGCTTTCTTTGAATACTAATTGTGTTTCCTCATTAATGTCTTACTTCTCCATAATTGGACACTGAACTCTGAGAGCTAATTTTAGCTGCTAGCGACTGGTATGTGGCTGCCCCCACAACGTCCAAAAGGCTCGTCTGAAAGCCATCATATACAAATGTAAAATCAACATATTTTAATGACATCTAACTAGAAATCTTAAAAAAGAAAGAAAACTAATAAACTGTTATGGATTTATTTGATTTAATTTAGAGAGTGGCTGTATTACTGTACTGCTTTTGTTGATGAAGTCGCATTACACTGTGGGCTGAATTAGAGTGGCATCAGTCTCTAATCTTCAGTGAGATAAACAGGACATATCAGCTGATTTTTTCAGTTTTTGAATTTAAGTAAATAAAAAAGGGGAAGAAAACACTGAATGAATTAGAAATGCATTAATGATTTAAATAGAAAGCAACAAGTATGGCAAACTTGATGATGTCCTGTCATGGTGACAGGAGACAACAGGAATAATGTCATGCTGGTTTACACAAAGACTTCAGTGAAGTGAACTCTGCAATCAAGTGGCCACGCATGCATGCATATGTGGAATCATTGTAACATCAGGTGTGAGCATATGGGCAAGTCTGATCAGATCACTGCATGCTGTACCTTTCCAATGCAGCTAAATCTGCACTTACCATATTATGCTGCTTTTTGTATCTTGACCTTTGCGAGCCTGAGTTAACTCACTGTCCTACAGGATACGATGTGGAGGATGATAATGGGCATAACATTTTGCTGACCTCTGTGGTAAAAATCCATGGGTGTTGCTCTTTCTCATTAGTCCTAAAAATGTATCAGATGCATCGGGGAGATGTTGCTGTTGACTTTTAAGAAGCTGTCATTGATCCTTTTCTCAATGACAGAAAATCTGTGGAGACATGTTGCCTTTGATTGGAAACTACAATGAAACCCAGCACAAATGTGTCTCGGTATGGATCGCTTTACAGCTGATTGGCCAAAGTTGTGACATAATTGAGATGGTGGTCGTGTGCAGACTGATAATTTAACCATAATGCTCAGTGGCTGTAGAAAGAGGGTGTGATTTAAAAGATTAACATCTAAATAAAAAATGCAAACACTACAAACAGTTTATTTGTTTGTAAAAAAAAAAAAAAAAAAGAGAGGAGAGATTCATCATTAAGGCCTATAAATTCTATTAATATGGTTTCCTTTCAAAAATTCAAATTGTATTTTCACAAAACTAAGAAATAGAGCTTTTCAGAGTAAGAAAGTCTGGCTTTACCCAAGTATATCTACTTTTGTATTTTGTTTTTAATCATCACAATATTTTCAGACTATCAAGCCATACATTTTAATGTAGCAGCCTTTAAACGGCAATTTTTGCAGACAGTCAGGCTAATTACTATCTGCGGCTGACAGCAAGTTATACACCAGCAACTGGAACAAAACCTGCCAGAGAATTATCCCTGTTTTTATGAGCTGCCGTCTTGAACACACCTTTCACTATATTCAGTATGACTTCAAGAGTCATGAACTCAAACTGAAACATCCTTCTTTTTAACAATAAGCAGTTCACATAAACTCAATTTCACACTTCAGTCTTTACCTGAATGTGTCAGCATTGTAAAACGTCATAATTAATGGAGATATGGGAACTCTTATGACATGTCTGGATCATAATGCTTACACTTCCTGCATCTGTTTTACACAGGTATGCTGTCTTTACTCATTTTGCTTAAAACTGACACAATATTTTCCCATCGAACACAATCCCTTGGGGAGTTCTGTACGATAAAGAAGAAGATTAAGATTAAACAGTTTTAGCTAACACCATTGCTTGATACTATGGAATATTTTAAATTAATCATGAGCATAACTGAATGCTGGAATGTCAAATGTTGGCACTCAGTTTTAGCCAGATCTCTGCTAATCTTGTATGAGTCCACTTTAATGATTTCATGGTGTGTGTCTTACACTCACAAGAAATATCCTTCACATTGTCCTTCACTTGAAATGGCAACTTACTTAGAGCTGAAAGGGCACAATCCATCAACGTTCACCAAAGCATTGTGTATTTAGAAGGGTCTGTGCACACTTGCTGCAAAATATTAAAGACTGAATATCCATCTTGGGGTGGGTATATTTCTCACAGAATTTTAAGAAATCAGCCTCCTTTTTTACGCATTGCACTTCATCCAGGTAATGAGATAACGGACCATTTAGCTCACGTCTTAGCCTGTCTCTGGTAAGCCTCTTTTGACTTAAAAGTCACACGAGATTTTTTAATGCCCACATGAGTCACTAGGATCACATGACAGTTGTGCATGAATTATGTGAATCAGTTTGAAAATGTGTCTGCATGGATGTCAAGACTTTGCTGTGAGCTCCTGATAAGCTTCTTTTGTAGAGATTTTAGGTATTTATTGCACAAATATCTCATCAAAACTCCAAAGCGACACACAATGTAGCAAAGGAAAGCATATTTAATTTTACAGACATTCTGCAAAAGGACTAACTGTCCAGCAAAGCTTGTGTGGATTGCTTATCTCTTTATGTTCAAAACCAAGAAACACATAGCTATTTATAACACTGCAAACTATATTGTCATATTTTTCTATTGCTTCACCGCAGTGACACTACTGTTTTATTTAAAGTAGCTGGTTGAGCAGCTACACAATATATAGAGGCTTAAAGTCCTTTTCACAGCCAGCCTTAAACGTATGTTATCCTCTCCTGTCTGCCAGCTTTTCTGTCTGCAGACATCATCAAGTTATCACCCATTCAGATGTATTGGAATGCTAGAATGTTGGAAAAAGCAGCATTCCAGAGATTAAGCTGTCTTCTAAGATTGAATTGGATAAAAATGATCCAAGATGATGTGCAGCACTGATCAGTAGCTGCTAGACCAGAGCACATACTGAAAGCAAAGGCTGCTGTAATTTGGGAACTCTGAGATATAGAATGTCATTTTCGTCTATATTTGAATAGAGAATTTATATATCAATCCATCAAATTTATATTTGGGAGTATGGGGGCTGGTGACTGTCTCAGCCTTCTGTGGACAGGAGGCAAGTTATAATCTGGACAGGTTGCCACAAATACGAATTTATGCCATTCAAAAATGCAGTGTTTTAATGTATAGCATAAGGAAAATATAGATAAAATATCTGAACTAGTATTTAAAGTGCTGAATAACATAATCGTACATAGCTATTTTTGGGATGATATAAAGTAAACTAGCTTGTTTGCTAGATTAGCTGCAGACTTGAGCACTTAATTGATTTTTGTTCCTTCTGTTTTGTTTTGTGAGTGTCAGAAGGCTAATTCAACTGTAAAATGGCATAACTTGACAGGACATTTTTCTGTTTTTACAGACTGAATCAAACAACAACTTCTAAAGATGGCTTTAAATCCCCTCCACTGAGACATTAATCCTTTAATGCTTGCTATGATTATCAAGTGAACGTATACTGAATGTAAAAGTGCTGTCACATGGATGATGAAATATAGATCTGAATACATTATTTCTTGTTTTCTATACAGTCCAGTGACTAACATTTAGCTCTAATGTCTAATCAAAATCTACTTTGTTTTTGTCTCATTTATAGTGTGCATTTAAATCCTTGTGACCTGCTCTGCATGTGTCAGATGTTTCCATGCTCCTGCACATGATCAAATTAATGACCTATAATAAGGCTTGAACCTTGCACTAGATGGACAGGATAACAGGTTTTGTTTGAATGAGGTATTTTGAGTTGGAAAACATCTAAAACACACAGAGGAGGTTTTCAGCATCTAAACTGAGAATGCCCACTTAAGCTATGTTAAATACCAGACAAAGTGGACAATGCCTGCACAATAAATTCACCTATACCTGCGTGTGCACTAATCTAACACTGTGGAAGTCATAAGTACGTTCAGACATTTTGCATGTGTAGTGGACATGGGCCAATTGAAGTGGGGGAAACAACAAAACAGTGCTGACTTTTCTATGTTTCACTCTTACACAATGCTCAATTTACATTTGCTCTTGAATGTCTTTCAGACAGAGATTTTACAAGAGAAAATTCATTTGAATACTCTCTGTATTGCATAAAACTAATTTTCAACTATCGTGTTGGGCATTTCACACAGTCTTTGTTTGGAAAAGACAGGCCAAGGTTGACTATGTCTCACGGCTCTTGTTGTAATTAGGTTCGTCTCCAGGAATATCGCTGATAATCATGCTAATGTTGTAAGCAGCTGTAGCTGTAATATCAGCACATTTAGCCATGCAATGGAAACAGATGGCAGTGATATTATGTAAGCACAGTGCTGAGGGATGGATGCCTTATGACTGAGACAGGGTTTCCATTCTCCTGCCTTTGTTTTGCCAGTGAGTCAGTACTTTTACTCGTAGGTCATTGGTATTGTCCTTATGTTTTAGGATGTAGTTGTGTATGAATGAACCATGCTCAAAATTGCCTCAAATTCAAGAGTTGAAAATGTGGTTTCATTGTCTTTTTTGTGTTAATGTTCCTGAAAGAACGTATGTTCAGAATAATTAAACAAAATCTTCTGAAAGGAGAAGGAATATCCGAAAGTCTATGCCCCATTTACATTTACAAAATGCTTCCAGAAATCCATATGGCCTACTTAAGGAAGAAGTGCCCAAAACCACTCATGTTGACAATTAATTAGCTGAAATGTTTCAGCATCTGCTGTTCTCAACATTTGAAATCCTTGTAAGTCAGTCCTTACTGTTACATTTTTTCTGTTATGGTTGTTGCTTGCAGGGAGTGCTATCACATGAAAGGTTTTTGAAAAAGAAGAACAAGGAAGAAATGGCGGCTGGAACTTACCGATGCAGTCTCACTTATACTCATGTAGCATTAGTCTCAGCCGAATCATCTTAAATTGACCCCAAAAAATTTAAAGGACCTCTGCTTCAAGGCTCAGGTCTTTATTAAGAATCAATTAAGCTATCATAAGATACCTATTTACAAAGATTTACAGTTGTCCCTTTTTAGCCTCATTTTCATCACATTCTATAAGGCTCTTTTTAAACTTCTCAATTTTTCTAGGTTTTTGTGTCAGAAATAGCCTTTTTTTTTATAATGGCTGATACTATACGTTGAAAACATGTTGTCTTCACTTTTGGGAGTCATAACAGATTGTTTTCATGCCGGGAAAATAGGGTTTGTTATTCTTGTGACTTGGGTAAGTAAAAAGAAGTATGTGATTTTCTGTCATCATTTCCTACTGAGTCACCAATACGTTCTTCATTTGATGTTTCATGTAAATTCACGTCTTTCAGGCTGCATGAAGCTATTATCAAACCATGAATTGAAATGCTTGTGTCATACGAAAATGAATGGATGTTTTTAGTTTAAAAAAGTTTATACATTAATTATACATCTCTTTTTTTTCTAGGGAGAAGTAGATTCTTCCGATTCCGGCAGGCTGCTTTGAGTCTAATGAATACCAACAAGCAGTCTCTTCCACAAGAAGATCCAGATGCTGTGACAGTTGACTCTCCTAAAGAGGAAGCTGATTCAGTGCCCCTGGAGAGCTTCCCCTCACCCACAAGAAGCATTTGCAGTCCGGTTGAGGCCAACGACACTCGTGCCCTGATAGGCTCAAGTCACCATTCTTCCAAGGCCAGCATCGGTCCTGAACCACTTGACCATTCATCCCTTAAACTTCCCTGGGAGAAGCTTTACCAGACAGAGACACAACAGTCCTCTACCTCCTTGTCAAACACCTTTCCCAGAGGCAGCACCAGCAGCATGAGGAGAGCCTCATCCATCCATGAAATTGAGGGCTATAGCTCCAATTCCAAAAGTTTTTTCAGGGATCGGTACACGAGTGAAGGTATGCTCAACAGTGATTCTTGATATGGACTAAAGGGCCCTGATGGACACTTCTGAATGTGAGAAGATAAGCTGGAATAGTTTGATAATTGAACAGCAGGTTGATTTGTACAGTAGAGGTTAACCACTCATTAAAACCATTTATGAAAATTACACAAGTGACATAAAAAAGGTGTAAATTTCCAGAGATTTAGTGGTTACTAAATGAAAACTAATATTTTACAGTTCTAAGGAAAATTTTAAAATACTTTTGATTTCATGAGGTACAGAAGAAAATATTTTCTAAGATTTTATGAGCTCATATTCTGTGGATACAGTACAGTATATAGACTTATTTGGTCATTTCTGGTCTCATTTACCTGTACAGTTTCCCTTAGAATTGGGTGTTGATAGATGTTTTTTGGATTGAGTCCGTCTTGCAGGGGTTCGTTAGATTGAGAGAGAGAAACTGTGTGTTTTTCCTTTTATTTTTTCTGTTCAGTTTTATTCATTCAGCATCAAATCTTCTTTGTTTTTATTGTCCACTCAATGCTGCTTTTAGACAATGGTATCTATGCCAGAGGTAATTATGAATGCCTACCTAAGATTTCAGTGCTCGGTGCTGCCGTAAAGCATGACCTTCGAACAAGACATTTTACATGAACACTTCCTGGAGATCCATTTCTGTTGTATAAGATGACTGGGTTTTTTGCACTCATTATGAACAGTCCATTTCAATTTCCAGTGCATAAAATACTGCAGTTTTGTCAAAGTGTTTGGCCACTATGAGAAATGCAGAAAATCCACAATGTAACTGGTTCCTGGCACAGGCTGAGAAATTGTTGGGTGTTGAGGCCATTTTAAAATGTAAACAAGCAATAACTTGTTACTGTTTAGGATAGAGTAACATGGGATTCCGTAAATTACAGGATCCATGACAATGTGACTCAAATACGAGAGCGTTTGGTAGGGTTTATACATTTAAAACAGGTTGATTGCGTTTAGCCAATACAGTTTTGTGGTGTAGGAATAGAAATGGAGTGCAAGTCCGATGAAGGACTCCACTACTTTCTGCAGCTTTGATAGTCCTGACAAAACTGTAGTGTATTATATGACACAATAATGGGAAATTGGCCTGTTAGGACAACTATTTGCATACTTCTTGGTCATTGTAACCATTTTGTCATGTCAGAAGTTGGTAAAATTAGATAATCCCGTCTAAATACCTTTAAGTTGAAGGACCTTGCATGGCTGCTTGTTGTTTTTGACACCAAAGTAGCTCTCCTTGATTCTGAGAATGCCCATATGCTTACAAAAAACAACATGCCCAGTAGCTCTTTCTTTCTGCTTGCATGAAATTTCCTTGAAAATTATTTTTAGAAAGAGCTCTGGCTTATCCAGTCCACTATTCTGTCTGCATACCTTGTATGTTCGTTGATGCATGATTGACTGTACAATTTAAGATAACAGTTCTCGAGAATAAGGACAATTCTGCTGAAATTAGAATAATTCGTAATGCACAACCAAACAAGTTTTCCCTCATTTTAAGTTTGCTATTTGTTTTCCACGAGCAGAGAAAAAATACTATCAATTACATATTTTCTGGACCATACACTCATGTTGGAATACATTAGTCACTAGTTTTCAGAAACAGCTACCTTTACTGGCTGTAATTCAAAGTACAGTATGCAGATCATGATGTGTCAGTGTTACATCACCCTAATGCCTAAAAGATGGACATAAGGTTTAAAATCATCAGTCCCTTAATCTTAGTTAAGCCCATGCTTGCAAAACTGAAAGTGACTCATCATTATGTTATGAAAACATTACTACTTGGAAATATCTTAGTTTCTGCTTACCAATATATTCACAAACTTAGCAGTATTATTGCCATCATCCTCGGATTAACACCGTTATGTTAAGATGAGCAGGAATATTAAAGTGAGGCGTTTTTCTTGTGAATCCTTAGGCCCTTTCAAACATGTGAAGTCCAGCTTGCTTGGCTCTACATCTGATTCCAACATCAACAAGTATAGCACCATCAACAAGATCCCTCTGATTGCACTCAACTTTGCAGAGGGGACTGACAAGAAGGCTCACTCTCCTCCAACATCAGAGAATACCATCATTGCACCAAAAGTTAAAGACAGAACTCACAATGTCACCGAGAAGGTCACGCAGGTGAGTCACATGGTTTGCTCTTCTTTGTCTGTTTTTGTAGTCGAGTTTGAGCTTTGCGGCCACTGTAGATGTAGTTTGATCGCTAATAATACTTGATTCTGTATTTCAAAGAACACAATTGTATTTGATGGTGGGATAATGATCTCATCACTGACTCAATCTCAATAATAAGTCCAGGAATGATCTTTATACTTTTCCCTGCAATGTAGTTCAGGTCCATGCGTTGTGATCCTTCGCAGGTGTTTTTTTCTGTAGGTAAAAAATACTGAACAATATTACATTATGACGTGGATAAGCAGTTATAATATGATAATTGTAAAACTTTACCTTCATGTGAGGCATGTGAGGCAACAGCTGACCACCACCTCTTATAAATTATCATCCTGTTGTTGGTGCTCTCACTGTAGGGTCAAAATAATTCAGCATGAAGATATTATTATGATATTAATATGTATCATTTTTAAAAAGAGATGTTAATAGACACATTTTGGGAAACTGCTCTCATCGCTTCTGCGAACTCTGTCCTATTTACATCCTAAAGGATATTTTAAACTCTGCTAAAAAGATTCTACCTATCACTTTTCACAATGGTCTTAATGCCCACTAACATCTGGCTCTGTGTACCATAGAAAAGTGTTTCATTGGCGTCTAGTTCCATTTCAAATTAGCCTGCCATATATTTGTTTGTTTGTTTGTTTTTGTTTCCAGCTGAGCCTCAACGGTAACAAAACAACCAGATGCACATGTAGATTTTGAATCAGGTTGCTGTTGCCAGGGTAACGGACATGGGAACTGAAACGTGTGTGTAACAACCGTAAAGCCTCATAGGGAAGCTTTGTGCAGGATCACGTGAAGTGAATTAACCTGTTGAATCATCAGAATCGGGACTATTAAAATCATAGCATACTCTATCAGACTAATGCCTCTCATCAAGTTGTAGAAAAACGCTTGCATCGCACTACCTGAGAGGCATCAGTATACTGGAAAGTATGATGAAGCCCTCAGAGTTTACTTATGCTGCCACTGCAGATTTGGTGAAATGTGTGTACAACAGAAACTCATTTCAACTGGTGCACCTGGCGTTATGAAAATGAATGTGCTGTGATGGCAGTTATTATAACAGCTTGGCAACATGATGATTGGAAGACTGACATAATGACAATATATGACAATGAAAGGAAGAAAATGTGAAATCTGGACAAGAAATAAGGTGTTTCCAGCAGTTTATGAGGAATTGGATCTTATTACAGTGGGATAAAATAGTTCTCCGAGTGGCTGATGGATGAACCAATGTTTCCACTCTTTAAACGCTAGGCAAACCTATACTTATTGTAACCAGTTTTTTAAAAAGACAGAAGACAATTGCCTTACAAAAACAATAGTAATACTCTAACTTGGGAACACTTTATTTTTAAATCTAATGGGATAAAAAAAAACTAATCATACGCTGGCAACACATTTCGATAACAAACCAAGCAAAAAGAAGCTCAGAAAATTTGTATTCAAAGTTCATTCAAGATACAGCAGCTTTCTCATTCATAAATGAAGTACCATCTTCTTGATTAAATGCTCTCCCTGCAGACCTTGGTCTGAAGTATGGAGACATCGCTGACATATGAACGCTGCATCTACTTCCTGACTGCAAAATCTATAATTCATACAATGAAGAGAGGGGAATGTGTGGAAAAGAACTGAAAGACCAATTGCCCTCATCATCATTCTTACCCTATTTTCTGTCCTTGTATGATCCCCCCTGATTATTATCCTAAGTATATTTAATCATATAAACAATGTCCATTAATCAGATGAAATCAAACAAATGTTTTCTAAGGACAAAAATTATATGTATGGTCATATGTCATAGGTTTTCTAATACATCATTTACACAGAAAAGGAAATGTTTTTTTTCCAATACTGATGAAATTTAACTAATTCAAATGTAAGGCAAGTCAGTGGTAGCTGCATTATTCACATTGCCAGAACATTAGTCATTTAAGTGTGTCACAGTTAAATGACTGGCTTCAACTTAACACAATCTGACTGCAGAGGACACCCAGGATGTCATAATTCATGTCAGATCATTTTTTGTGAGTCTGTGAGCTTTATAGTAGTTAGGTGAGAAATTCTAAACTTCACATCTGATCAAACAAGAGTAATCATCTAATTCTGTCTGCAGAATTTTGTAATTGTAAATGTCTTTGAAATTATATCTTTGTTTTAGATGAAAGCGGCGTGTCTTGAGTGGGTGGTTTTATTTAGTGTCTTTGACAGTTTCTTATGGCTTTTCCAGGTGCTGTCACTTGGGGCTGATGTGCTGCCAGAGTACAAACTCCAGACAACTCGTATTGACAAGTTTACCATCCTCCACTATAGCCCCTTCAAAGCTGTCTGGGACTGGCTAATCCTTTTGCTGGTCATCTACACCGCTATCCTCACTCCTTACTCTGCTGCCTTTCTTCTAAATGACCAAGAGGAGCAACGGAGGCGGGAATGTGGATACTCCTGCAGCCCTCTCAACGTGGTAGATTTGATGGTGGATATCATGTTCATCATTGACATTCTCATAAACTTCAGGACCACTTACGTGAACCAGAATGAAGAAGTGGTCAGCCATCCAGCTAAAATAGCAATCCATTACTTTAAAGGCTGGTTCCTCATTGATATGGTGGCAGCAATCCCCTTTGACCTTCTTATCTTCGGCTCAGGATCAGATGAGGTATGTTGCTGCCTTTAATGGATGTACTGTATTTTTCTTTACCTGTTTTTTTTTTGTCCCCTGGAGCTTTAGTGCACATTACCCCAGGGACACTTTCACTTTTGCCCGGACTTGTGGCCTAGGAGCACTACTTAAAGCCTGAGTTTTTCTGTGCCGGATCTGAAAGGATTACTTTCAAAATTGTGTGGGATTTTTTCTTTCTTTCCTTCTTACTTTTTTCTCTTTTTTCTGAATGGTCCTCATTCTCGAATCCATTTACACGGATTAATGGCTTACCAAATGGCAATCAATGATGCATTTAGTGAGAAGCAGACCAACAGGACTATGTGCGCAGCTTACATGCTGATGTGAGATGGCCATTGGTAGGCTGTTTGCCAGGCTTGCCGGCCTGTTTGTGTGGTAGGTCATTTCCCCTAAGGCTCTGGATCTACTTCAGGGCTTTATCGTGCTTTGTAGGCCCTCCATTACACCAGAAAAGCTCCTGATTATAAACCATAATCATCTTTTCCATCAGTGCTGCTGCTGCCAATGCTGAGTCAATTCACTGAATCACAACAAGTCAAAAAGAAAGGGACATTAGTTTTTTTCTCATAAGAAAGTAACAGACAAATTGGTCCTGGGAAATAAGATTTGATGAAGATTGATCTTTTGTCTTTCATGAGTGTAAGTAGGTTGACATATGCTTTAGTGACATGGTGATTCATAACTTCTATTTATAGCTTCCTCATTTGGTTTTCCGAAATCTCAGACTGATCATGTAAAGTCCTGCTGAGCTTCATTCTCATTCAGAAAATGAAAGTAACTGAGACAGTGGCAGATGGTTTTCACAAGGTTTTAATTTAGGAGCTTAACACAATGGTTTTAACCTGTAAGCGCTTAAGCAAACCTTTTGATTAGGACGGAAAATATAATTGAAATAGATTTTTATATCTCAATGCCTAGAGGTTGAAAATAATTTAAAATGATTAATAAAAAAGGGATCCATCGCTCAGAGGAGTGATTATGATAGAAACCTAAAGGACTTATTCATGTCTCCATCTCTGTGAATGCGATGAAGGGGAAGTTGAATGCATTGTTCCTACTTGAACCTGTGAATGCTGTCCCTATTAAGGAAGAACATGGAGAAAATTGGGGATGGTGATGCTAATGTTACCCTATGAATATATTAAGTGTACAAATATTCTTATTCTGTTTAACCTTCATTGCAAATGTAACTTTTCTAATTCTTTTATAGTTTATTATTCTTTCATTATTAAGATTATCATTTTATTATTAAGATAAATAGTATTTCTCAGTTAAACATTATAATGTCTTTCTTCCCCTCTCATTCATCTTTCCCTCTCTCTATGCTGTTCACCATGTCAATATTTTAAGGACCATACAAAGATTCACAAATCATGTTTCAAGGGAGCTCATCTCTTATTAAGAGGAGCCAAGCCTCTATGAATGTGTACCCTGAGGTTGGAGTGAATGGCTGGTCTGCACTGCTGAATATGGAATGGTTTGTTGTAACTGATGGCTAATTTTGCTCATAATTGGCTTTGTAGCACTTCAAAAACACAATTCAATCAGGGTAATAAAGTGAAACTCTTATTTTTTTAGCTTGAACTTAATGTCCATTTGGTTTTTCTGATTGTCTCTACTGCATATTACCAAGTAATGATTCTGTGATATATGCAATTATAACACAGGCATAACAACACTGTACATCGTAGAACATCGTAGTGTTTAAGCCACTGAAAAATGTCTCTTCTGTTTTCTATTCCAAATGCAATTGTGCAGACTTGCTTGCATCACCACAGCTGAGGATGCAATGACCCACACTATGGTTGAAATCAACAGCAGTCAACCAAAACATATCGTATTCTATCTTTATGCATTTTAGCCTTTGTGTATGGGCCAGTGAGGGAATGTTCAGAAATATTTAGGCTTATTGTGTATATTATGACTAGACTGACATTCGACTTCTACTAACAAATTCACAATCTAATTTGTTTAGACAACCACTTTGATCGGCCTGTTGAAGACAGCAAGGCTCCTGCGGTTGGTGCGTGTAGCCAGGAAGCTGGACCGCTACTCCGAGTACGGAGCTGCAGTGCTGATGCTGCTGATGTGCATCTTTGCCCTAATTGCCCACTGGTTAGCTTGTATTTGGTACGCCATTGGCAATGTGGAGAAACCCTACTTGGAGCACAGGATTGGCTGGTTAGACCATCTTGGCGTTTCTATAGGGAAGAGATACAACTACAGTGATCCTAACTCTGGTCCCTCGATCAAGGACAAGTATGTCACAGCACTTTACTTCACCTTCAGCAGTCTGACGAGTGTCGGCTTTGGAAATGTTTCCCCAAACACCAACTCCGAGAAGATCTTTTCCATATGTGTCATGTTGATTGGCTGTGAGTATCATATTTTCTGTTTACATTATCCACATTCATCTTGAATTACTTCGTTCCTTGACATTTATCAGTTAATCTGCGTTCTCATATGCTACACAAAGATCTCTGTTTTTGGTTGTACTCGTTGACATTCATTAGCAGATGTAACGAATGTGCAAGTCTCGGTACATTTCGCCCACTTTATGACATCACTCTTTTTATTTCAGCTTTGATGTATGCCAGTATTTTTGGAAACGTCTCTGCCATCATCCAGAGGTTATATTCGGGGACGGCACGCTATCATGCTCAAATGTTACGGGTCAAAGAGTTCATCCGCTTTCACCAGATCCCCAACCCACTGAGGCAAAGACTAGAAGAATACTTCCAACACTCATGGGCCTACACCAATGGCATTGATATGAACACGGTACATAACAGAGATCAACACTCCAACATGTTACTAAATCTGAAAATGGAAAACCAACTAAATAACTGATTGCACTGATTGATTTTTAAGAGGATGCATATACGAAACTAAAAGGAGTTTTCTTTTGCTTTTCTGCCTTTCATTTGGACTGACATCTCTTCATCTGTAAGAGCAGGAGGTACATATTTTTATTTCTTCTCTTTCAACTCTGTTTTAAATAACATCAGTATCCATATTCTGTTTATGTTATTAATGGAATGTTTAATAGTCATGCATGTCCTGTTCATCATATAGCAACATTATTACTGTATAGTCATAACACTTATACGTATTGTTTTTATTTCCCATGATATTGCTAAACACAGCATTCTTTGCAGTCAACTTATTTTCTTAATCAGATCTATTAGGTGAAAAATTTCAACTGATTCTTCCTTTTCACCATACACCAATTATTCTTATATGTAAGATTGAAACTGAAAATCAGACTATTTGTGCCTGTGTTATCTTAGAATGGGACGGTTATATCTGCAGGGGACACAGTCCACTATGCTATGAGTCACAATGTTTCCACATTAGCATAGCAAAGACAAACAACTGCCTGTAGAAAGCGCCTTCCACATTTATCTCCAACAGGATTAGAAGGTCTGTAAGTAAGGCAGAGGCCTACATCTTATTTCTTAATCTAAAATCTCAAATTTATATTGAACGTGAGATCTATGTGTTATAACACATTTTATAAAGCACAGCAAAATCAAAACAACAACAAGGATTCAGAGACAAAAACCAAAATTATCCTTTCTAAAGAATAGCACATTTAAAAACTGGTGTATTTTTTAGAAAATGTTGTATTCTAGTTTGTGTTGTTCAAAATGCTGGATGGATTTTTTTGTGTTCTTTGTATCTTGTGTCTTGTTTCTTGTTGTCCTTTTGTGCTTCTGTGAATTTTTTTGTTCTGCAAACCTTTTGTGTCTCTAATCACATTACACAGATGATTTTATGAACAACATGTGCCTGTTAAATGGGCCTATGACTCAGTTACATGCTTGATTTTACTCTGTATCTAGGTATCTATGCTATTGTCAAGGCTAATTGCAACCTTTCTAACAAAAAGCGCATTGATTTGACACTTATCTGACCAATGAATTCAGTGAATAGCATGATTACTTTTCAAATCCATCTCTTAAATTATAATTAACCAGTATTATAAGCTTTTAACACAATATTTTTCGATCTTTTACAGGTATTAAAAGGTTTCCCCGAGTGCCTGCAAGCAGATATTTGTCTTCACCTCAACAACAATCTTCTGAATAACTGCAAAGCTTTCCAAGGAGCTACTAAAGGCTGCTTAAGGGCTTTGGCGATGCGCTTCAGTACAACACATGCACCCCCTGGAGACACTCTGGTCCACAGCGGCGATGTTCTCACTGCTCTCTACTTTCTGTCTCGTGGTTCTATTGAGATCCTAAAAGATGACATTGTAGTTGCAATCTTAGGTAAGGTTTTGCTGCTTATCTTCATTAAGAAATCCATTTCTTTATTCATTCGGTGTTCTTAAATTCCCATAACTTGTCACTGTTGCAAATTGTTATATATTTTTTTCATTTAAATCCCTCATGAAACATTATATTGTTGAAGATAAACTTAAGACCTTGCAGATTGCTTTAGGTTGAATTATTTATGCATTTAGTGACAGTCTCAGTTGCATGTACAACCTCCATCACCTTCTAAATAAGTGATCAATTGTAAAAGGTCAGCGTCTGTTCACTATTGTACATAAAAGCTCTCGGATTCTTTTCGCTGAGTATCAGTACCAGACAAATTACAAACCTTTTTCCACAACTATGGTAAAAGAGTCAGAGTTCTTCTTTTTTTTTTTTTTTTTTTGTGGAAACATCTAACGTCAAGCAAATACCCAATTACTGAAATTAATATTGATTCACACATAGAGAATTTATAAATGACTAGGAATTACAAAATATTTAAATCCATTTTTAGTGGTTGTATCTTAGTGTTTTATTTTCAAAGAGCATGGTGACGTAAGGATTATGAAAAGAGCACCACAGGAAAGCTGTGGATGGAACCATTTTAATGCTGCATTTAATTGTGAATATTGTGTTAGAAAGGTGGAAATTAAAATGCATTATTCTTTTAATAATGATGGGTATTTATCTTTGTCTCCATGGCTGAACTGTAGCCAGATGCTACAGGCTGAGCCTGGGTTAAATATGCCATTATTTCTATGATGAATGCCCTCCATAGCTGCACCTGACAGAATGAGGTTTGAGCCCTACAAAAGTTGCTGCATCACACAAAACACACTGCTAATAAACGTGCCTGGGAAGTTACTCATCCCATAGGTCCATCTAATTCTTCACTGTACATACACAGTGCTCAGTCAGCAGTGTTTTCCACTAGTTTGTGCATCAGGTCTTGAATATTGCTTTTCCTGTTTTGCACCTGTAACATGCACCTCTTTTGATTACATAGACTCATGCAAAGCTATTTGCATAACTTCACAAGTGAAAAAAAAGTCTGCTACAACAACCATAGTCTAAATCTATGTGGCGAAAGCTGGATTTGGTGGAGAGCCACTGCCCTGCGTGAAGCTTTCCTCTGTGGTAGAAAGGTGTCCGGCGCATGCTGTGAAAGGCACACTGGCAGCCAATGTATCATATCTCTTTTTCCTGAACCCCTGCTTACACTGTTGGCATTTAGTGAACCTCACACACCAACAAAGGGGTTTTTCAGGATGGCCTTTAAACCAGACCTCTTGTCATTTGTGAAAATGGATCTCTTTTTCAGCAGAGGGAACCCTTGTTATTCAACCAGAAAACGAAGGTCATGATGCAGTATACTTTTCAACATTATGGAAGTTTGATGAAGAACAGGCTTCATTATGTGATAGCCATTATCAACACACACATTTGCTTTGAAGTGCACAAAAAATAAAGCGTGTCAGTCTCTATCAATCATCCTTTTTGCCTCACATCAAAGTTACTTTGTGTTAGTGGTTATTCCTCAGGGTAAATAATGGATCAAAGATAGAAAGGCAGCTGATGCACAGGCCTTGGGAGAACATATTCACAGAGAGGAGAGGCTTATTTGATTTTCATTATCCACAAAAAACAGACCCGCCTGATGGCCATTAATAATAAGTGAGAAAAAGAAAAAATAGATGACCCCTAAAAAAGTTCCTTCTTTAAATGGTAAATTACTTTTGGAAGTCAATGCAGGTGAAGTTCACAGTTTCCCCTTATGCCCAATAACTTAGTGAAATGACACATAGGCTGTGTATGTGTTTCACACCCAGGAAAAAATGACATCTTTGGAGAAATGATCCATCTTTTTGCCAAGCCCGGGAAGTCCAACGCAGATGTGAGAGCACTGAGCTACTGTGACCTGAGCACCATCCAGAGAGAAGACCTGCTGGACGTGCTTGACATGTACCCAGAATTTGCCGACTACTTCTTCAACAACCTGGAGCTTACCTTCAACCTCAGAGACGAGTCTGTCAAGGTAGATGTCAATATTGTGAAATAGGATGCACTTCAACTTTGTGCTGCGTTATTATTGTCAAGTGTTCAAATTCTGTTGGATTCTGTTTTTTCTTTGCCTAGCGATTTCCTGTTGTGCTTTGCCACTTTTAATTCATTAAACACCTTTTCATTTGAAGCCCACTGATGTCCAAGAATGTGAATCAGATGGCGAGGGGAATAAAAGCTTGAAAAGACGAATCTCTTTCACACCAGATCTACCTGAAGGTCAGCAGAGACTAATCCACAGTGCAGCCATGTTCAGCATGCTTTCTGGTGTCAAATGTGTTCTTTGTTGTTGTTAGCTGAGTGCTGCTGGCTGATAACAGGTGTTCTTCCGTGGAATATAGTACAGTGTTATTCTGCTGCTGATTGCAATTCTCCAGGGGAAAACAAGGAAATGACCAAAGACGGTCAGAAAGACAGAGGTTCTAACTCGTGCCTGAGGAGAAGTTCAGCTGTCCTGGGTTCCTCCTCACTTGGTGTTCCAGTCATGGATTCAGATCTTATTGCCAGAGACAACGAGGAACAAAGACCATCCACTGAAGGTGATAGGTTTTGATATATAAACTGAAATATTACTGTTAAGTGTCTGTTGTGCTGCAATTAGATATTTAGCATTGCTTATTTTTCTTGTTATTATATGATAATTTAATACTACTTTACTTTGCTGTACAATAACTTTAAAACATCGGTTGCTAAAATTGTGGTACCTGCATGTAACTTATAGCATCGAAAACATTCTCATTCCTCTTTAGACTGCGGTGAGGCATAACTGCTTACATCTGGTTTTTGCCTCTTGGAGTGTACTGTAAATGATCACATAGTGTGGAATCGAAATAAGTCATACACTGTCATGCAGCTTAATGTAACTAGTGATTTAAAACCATTGTAATGACTTCATTAGATGCTATCAATATTGTATTTTTTTCAAGAAATCATTAATCATGAAATTAAGCAATGCCATGTAAATTGAATCCCCACATTTTAAACTTCCTTTTTCCAAGGTATTATTTCTAAAGATTGTTAAACAATTTGCAGCCATCGTCACACAGACCTGCTCTATCTTCAATTATAGGCGTTGTAGAATACTTGGCAAGTGATTCACTGATGAGCCCAGTTATGCCGTAATTGTCTTGAGGGGACGCCGTGATGTGAATTAGGTGTAACTGTAGGGTGGCAGTTATGATTTCCCTGGTTATCATCATACCTGGCACCAGTAGTGGATTGATTTTTACAGGGTCATTTCTCACCAATGCAAGTGTAAAAAGCAGAAATCAAGGAGAGGAAGTTTTGTGAGATTGCAGAAGAAGCCTCAGTGCAGGAAGGGAGCTCATGCTTCAATGCAGAAATGCCGCAATAACAGCTTTGAGTTGGAGCGAAGGGTATTTACTTATAATTATTTTCTGTTCTAGTTGGTACAATAGAAAAATAAACATTAACATTTAAAACTCTTTGTTGATTAGCTGATAAGTCTACTTTGTGCAACATAATTGTAAAATGTTGTCCACTTACCAGAGGGTTTTGGTACAATGCAGATATATGGAAAAACATCTGACAGACTGATTAATCCATCATTTTTAGAACAAAACCACCTCACAGACCACCCCATTTGATAGTTAAAATGCAGAACTAACCACCTCTGTTTTTAAAACCTCAAAAGGGGCAAAACACTTGGAATATCACAGAGCTGCAGGCTGAAAACCACTGAGTGTCCAACAGAGATAACAACAGGGCAAACAATCCCATAATAATTCCCCTGATACTGTACAAAAGGTTGATGAATTACAACAAAGATTCTACACGTAGCTTTCCTGCAGAGATTAATTACTTTCTATTTCAGTTTTCTTTTTGTGTAGTGATGACGTTGTTCTGACCCACATGTGGGAATGTAAAGCATGTGTGTTGGTTTGGTTTTCCAGATCTGCCCTGTGATAAATGGTCCTGTAATAAGCCTACAGACTACCTGGATGAGTCAGCACAGTTCCAAAACCTGAGAGAGGATGATAATTCTGCCAGTGAAATCACATATGGAGAGGTTGAACAGCGCTTAGGTCAGCTTCAAGAGCACTTAAACAGGTAGGTATTTTTAGTCAGCAAAGAGAAGGTTGATACAGGAGCTATCATGAACTATGATTTACCCCGCAATTTCAACTTCACCAGTTTATCTGCCAATGAGATCTCTTTGTTTCATTTAAGATGTATTAAAGTCATTCTAACACTACGCTCAGGTGAAAATAATAAAATAATATCCTATACCAACATGGTACACTAAATGCTGAGGCTCGATTTTCAACCATCCATCCATTAACTGTACCACTTATTCCCAGCGGGGTTGCGGGGAGCAGGGGGGGCTGGAGCCTATCCCCGCCAACAATGGGTGAGAGGCCACTCTCGCAAAACCGAGCCTAGCAGAAGAGAATTTATAGAAGAAATAGGCAGATACATATCCCTGATACAGATCCCTGTTACGTTTTTAATCTGCCTTATCCACATTTATTTATATTTTCATTAAATTGTTAATAGATGTTTCATTTTACAAAGTTGTCACCACCCACGATGTTAAAACTTAACGGAAGCTACGCTGAATGTTTATGAGTAGGTGGGGGAAAGTAGCTTGCTGGCAGAAGCAGTTCCAGGACTCAGAGTGGGAGGCTGGATCTGCTGGATGCAGGATATACTGTACCACTGTTAAACCAAAGTGTATCTAACTTTATAATAATATAAGTTGGAACAAGAGTCTCTGCTAAATTCCTAGAAGGACACCGTTATGTTAAAAGAAAAATATGTTGCAAGATATTTTCAAGGAGCATACATTTTTTAAAGTGGCATGTTAACCAGTTGAAAGAACGTACCAGCGACCACCTGAAACAGACATACAAATTATCAACATGCCTTATTTTTTACTGAAATTAAACAAGAGATGTAAAGATAGCATCATGGTTTTTAAAATTCTGGACTGGCTCATTTTGTTAAGCACAAATACAAAGTTTTATCCACTGCACTATACCTGACCTTGTTTTTCCCTAATGCCTGCTTGCAGCAGGATAAGCAGAACATCCCTGTCATATTATATTTTTCAGGCTTAAACTAGTACAAAAGCTTATGGGTGGAAACAAATTGCAAAGTAGAAATTTCTTAAAAGATCACCATGAACAGCAAGAAAAAGAGTAGTAGTTCTATGCAATAACAATGATTATGTGAATGCTTTGGTTAAGATATGTAATTGAGATAATTAAAAGGTCTTATGCATTAACAAATTTTGCCAAACACCCTAAATATGGAGCTTGGGTGACGTCTAGTTATAATTAGACTGACTAACCAAGTATGTTAAAGTAATTTCCACAGTAAATGCTGAGCTCACACCTCCCACACAAAGCTCATTATCACCCCTAGCTGGAGCACTGTCTTCCATCTACTTTTCTTGCAGCATGTGTTTCCACACCTTTACCATCTTTTTATTTGTCCTCCACTGAGGAGCAGAAGCTCCATCTACTGCTCAGTGAAGTATTGCTGCTTGTGGTTCAAATCATTATAAATAAGATTCAGCTAGGATCCTACGAATCAGAATTGAGCATTCATTTCCTCCTGTAGTAGATTTCATTTGGAAGAGTATCTGTCTGAATGTCCTTCTAACTCACTGTGTTGATCTGTTTTTAGACTGGAGTCGCAGCTGACGTCAGATATTCAGACCATACTGCAGATGCTGCAGAGACAGCCGACTCCAGGACCTCCTGCCTACAGCACTGTGACTGCCAGTCCAGAATATCACAGACCTGCTGTGAAGATGCAGCCAGTCACTCTGACTGCAAGCCGCCTTTTCAGCCATACTGGAACTCAAGTACAAGTGCAACTTTATTCATATATAGAATAGAACATCTATTACCATATTTGAACTGTGGTACTAATCTATGATGAATCACATATTCATACATTTATTGTACGAATCTTCTTTTCAGGGCTCTAGCTATAGGCTGGAGAGCACCATTCAGGAATCCAAAGACTCTGTGTCCAGCTTGGCCATTGTGAATACACCTATGGAGGACAGCCTTACAGCATTTTTTGAACAGAGACATACAGACCCCCCACTACAGCAACAAGTCATTACGGCGCATCAACAGTTAGCATTGATCCCTTTTCAAGTTGAAACAACCTCTGCCTCTTCCTCCCCAGCATCACATTCTGACCCCAAGCACAACACCACTGGACACTATAAACCTGTCACAGATTCAGAGTTTCCAAGGCCATGAACTTTTTCAACAACATTATACTCTAATGTCAGGGTTAAAATGCTGTAATTACTAAGTAGCACTTTTTATGTTTTTATCAGCATGCTGGCACAGCCATCTGTTGTGTTACAGTGGCTATGTAATAGAAGTAATATTTTCTATCATTGTGCATGTGGATAAAACATTGTTGTTGTTTTTTTGTTTAGAGGGAAATAAGAAACCCTTTAGACAAAAAGAAGAATCAGTTCCAAGCAGCTATCAAAGCACTAACTTGTTTTCTGTTTGAACTTTATTTGAACTGCACTTTTCAAACCAAATTTCTTCATCTCAGTCTATATAGATTAAGTCTGTTGAAGTCTGAAATAATTTTCTTTCTGTAGATTACTAAGCAGATACCCAACCAAATCACAAGTCTATTCAGGTCAGTCCCTGTTAAACGGAAACACTTCCTCAGTCACCAGGTCCATGGTTTTAAGTAAATTCTGCATTTCTGGTTTTAAAAAATCAAACCGACTTCACTTAATAATGATGGAATTAACAGTTAAACAACTTTCTAATTTAACAAGGCTTTTTACTCTTATCACCCTCTTGCGCTTCAGCTGTCAATGTTCCCACACAGTTGGTCACACTGGAGTGGACCATCAGGCTAGGGTCAGCAAGAATAAGCACCACATGACCCACAGTCATGGATTCTGGTCTTGTCATCAGTGCAGCAATCTGTCTCCATTAGCAACTCAATTCACCAACCCCAAGTAGAAACAAAGGTTACCTTGACAATCAGAGAGACATGCCCCATCCTCCACTTTCTAAAAAAGATGAGCTGACAGACCTACCTCACAGAAGACAGATCCCAGTAACCAGCACCTCAGACACCAGTTCATTACTTCAAATTCCTTTAGTCCCTTGTAGGTGTTAGTCCCACAGCCAGGGCAAAACTGGCTCTCCCACCACCAGTTACATGATCTAATAGCCGTGCACAAATCTGAAGAATCAATCATGTCTGATCTGGCATGTGGACATGGTGAAATTGAGAGTAGCACCAAATGGAACCGCCACACAGCCTCAATTAAGTACAGGTTACGATCAGTGGGAAGTCAAAAGCAGCAGATAGATAGGGTGACAGTCATTAACCATCAAACTGCCACTATATGGTACAAGTATATAGTGTACTAAAGGCAACAGAAATCTTTTCCTGGCTGCTGTAGAGATACCATTACGGTTTTACCTCCAAATACTGAGTCTCAGTATTGGGGGCAGCCAATGTATTGCTCACTGCCAAAGTGTGACACAATTCATCATTCAGTTAACTTTACTCCAAAGCAACAAGCAAAATAGGTGACTTTAGATTTTAAATGCTGGATGTTGACAACCCTTCACTGTTTTCAAGGAAGCCCTGATGGATGGCATCTGGAGAGCACAGATGCTTATTCACATTGTTGACCTGGACAGACTGAGACAGCAAAAGGGATGTGAGCCAAAATCCATGGCCCTGCACTGTTTTGTGTCCTCACTGCTATTGTATTTATGTACCTGAGTTACAAGGAGGTGACTTTGTTACAACAAAAAAACTATGATACTGCAGTTCTTCTAGTTTCATCTATTGGTGCACAGGAAATGACACAGAGGGGACAGACAAGAGCCCCATACTGAGTTCCCTCTCCTGGGCCAAAGAGCTTGTGTGAAACACTGGTGAACCTGGTCATGGATGTTAGAACCTGCAGGTGTTACATACACATACTTTACAAAGAATGTTTTCAACCTATTGGTGTAATTCAGCATTACAAAAGGGTGAGAACAGTTTTCTTATCATTAGTTCCATTCCTGTCTTCTCTGAAGTGTGACTCAGGGGTTTTGGCACTTGCACTGCAATAAACAAAACTAAGTATACAGTAGTTTTGTTCTTTAGTAAATGTGCATTGTTACTACAGTCACTGATGTGCTAGTGTACAGCCATACATCAGCACAAACTACATACGCTTGTTTAGAAAAAAAATACAACAAGCAGATTTGAGGATTTTCTGCTGTTATCCCAGAGCTTGGCCTCTGGCATTTCCACTAAGCAGTGCATGAGGTTTTTTTCTATCTAAATTTTTCCTGTCTTGCGCTGTTTGTTATCCAAAGTAGCACATCATTTAAAATGATGTCAGCTTACATGTCTTTTTTAGTACGTTGTACGTCGAGAGTGTACTAGGAGAGGTTGGGATATTTAAAGAAAAGTTACAGTAGCACTTGCGCATACGCAGGCCCAAAAATGGGTCTTGTGCCTATAAATCCAATCCAAATGCTAAGTTTCATCTTAATATTTAGATAAATATTCAACGATTAATTGTTACCCTATGAAGTTTTGGCCTCTGTACATTAAAGTAAGTTATTTTCAGTTGTTGTAGAAAAAAAATATGTCTCATTAAAAAATGTAAATAACATTATTTTGATTTTTTACTGAATTAATTATTTGAGAGAGTCTATAGTAAAACAAAGAGTAGTGAATATGCCTGTTTTTAAGCTGTGGAAGCAATAAATGAACATACAAAGTTGCGATTGTGTCATTTGTTTCCCCGTTTTCTGTACATTCATGCAGTATTTATTTGTCTTGTTTTGTTTTACTTATAAAATAGTGGTATGAACAAGAACAATCTAAAGACTGTTACACAGTATTGTTATTTCCAGCTATGACAGTTATATACTCCTGACAAATTTCAGGCTTTTTTGTGTTGTTTAAGTCTTTTTTCTGCTCTAAAGTTCCAAACAGGTTATCGAAGAAGGAAGGAATGCATTACAACAGTGTTTTTTTGGCATTGCCTTGCTTAAATGTGCAAGGACGTCTCTGAAAATAAGTTGCCTGTATCAATTTCAGCATCTCTTTAAAACGTTGCAGTGCCTTTCATTGGAGGATAATGTTTTACAACTAAATATGGAGAATCTAGAATGTGTTGACAGTACTAAATGAAAGAGTGGACTCAAGAGATATCCCTGTCCTTTAAAACGCAGTCTGTGAGTCACTGAGGACTGAAGGTTCCCACCTTTATGCATCAATTTGAAATTACTTATTTAAATTGATAATTGGCAATTATCAGTAACACTCCACAATATCATCTATAAGATTGTTGTTCATATCTGTCGCTACATATGTTAATTATTTAAATTAGTCTTCGTTTCTGTGTATGATAAAGTATTTGTCTCCACTGGAATAGTGTGTACAGTCAGCTTTGAATCGAAGAACTTCTGTGGAAATATTGACATCTAGTGGTCATAATGAGTAGGTTATGGTTTTGTGAAAAACGAAACAGAAAGAGTTTCGCTTTTCTCGGCCTGCTTTCCTGGTAACAGTGAATCGTCCTTCTGACTGAGGGTGCATTTAAACTTTATCAGCTGCTCGGTAGGTCCCGATGGCGTCTGATGACATCCAGGCGGGGCTGGTGGAGGCGCTGAGGCCGCGGCTGCAGGAGTATATCGCGGTGGAGCAAGCGGTCAAATATTTGCATTTTATCGACCCCGCTCGAAAAGAGCAGATTAAACAAAAAGCCAGAACCGACGGCAACGTCGCCGCGGCCAACGTCCTGATCGGCGCGGTGCTGGAGAGGCCGCGCACGGACGGCTGGTTCCGGGCCTTCGTGGACGCCCTGTCGCAGGGAGGCAGCCAGCTCGCTGCGGACTATTTGAATTCAAACCCCCCCGAACCTGACGTGGAAGCCGAAAATGACAGCTGCGTCCGACTTATTCGGTTGTTGGCTCCCAGTCTTGTGGACATGAAAACAGAACAAGTGTGTCAGCACTGTTTCTCCAAGAAGCTCCTCACCAACGAGGACAAAGAGCAGGTGAGTAGAAAAACAGTTGAAAAACAGAGAGGGGAGGGTGGGCTGTCAAATCAGCTGGGGGCCGGTTGTGTTCACGTCGAAGAGGGGCACACAAGTTGTCTTTATTTAGATTAAAAATACAAGACTCAGAGAATTACGGTATTTGTTCAAGAGTCATGTAAACGGTTAATACGAAAGCTGGTGTGTTTTTATTGCTTTGTTAGCAATTCACTTTTTAAAACCCACGTCTCAGTTCCGGGCACTTCCGCCACAAGATGGCAGACTGGATGCACTTTTAGTCTGAATGCAGTTTAGGAGGCCAAACTCTGCTGTCACATTTGCTTCAGAGATCCTGTTCACCTTTTAGATTTTGGCTGAAACAAGAAACAAAGGGAACATCGCTGGAGCTGACGAACTCCTGAGCAGAATTGTGAGGTGTCGTCCTGGATGGTATTCAACATTTCTGGAGGTTCTGAGAGAAACGGAACACATCTTCCTGTATGAGCTGACTGGAGGAGCACCCCTGACCCAGGGTGGGTGTGCAGTTTCTGCTGCTTTATTACCGCATACACACCCATTAAAGGAAAGACCAAGGGGCGGGAAACAGGTTTGACAAAAGCTGTTAGAACAACATCCTTAGTCCAGACTCATGAGTCATCATCATGAGCTGGCATAAATGATTATCTTTGCCTTATCAGTGTACTATGATTTATTTGTATTCCTTGTAATATATATTTTTTATCTTTATATGATCAGCTGAGAAACAACCCTCACAGATAGATGAGCCTACTGGAGATGAAGCCACAGCAGCAGAGAATCCATCAGCCGCCGAGAGCTGTGAGGGCCCAGAACCAATGGTGATCAGTGTAACTGAGGAGCCTCCAGATGAATCCACAGGTCTTTTTTTGTTCAGTGGTCACTGACAGACATTTGGATGTGTTAATTCTGACATGGCAGCAGAAAGGGGGAATGTTTCAATATGATACACATTGTGTGAAGTGGGCCAAAAGCATGGATATTGGAGAATTGTCAGATATGGTTTTCATTGGGTCTGTCCCTGTATCCGCATGTCCTTAAGTACTCACAAAGCACAAATATTAAACGGAAAACATTTCATAAAAATAACACGTGTTTCAGAGAAAACAAAAAGAAAGAAAATGCTGATAAAAAAAATTTAAAAGAACAATGTTCTTTTGAGTTTTGTGTGTGGTTTGTACTCTGAAGTGTTCTGGAATCTGTCATTTATTATTTAGTTGAGATGATGCAGTTCTCACCACAATGAGGAATAACTAGAGAATTAAATGTATCTATTTTTTTTTTCAGATCTGTATTCAAGTCCTGATGTGTCACACAACACGGAGCCCTCACAGTCAGGTGGGATTCATTCACCCCACCCACCCTGCTGATTTAGTAATTTAAAGTATGTCAGTAATTTACATCATTCTGCAACACTAGAGCAAACACAAAACCCCAGGACACTCCATTCCATCACAAGAAAAACGGTTATTAGACCTGTTGCCCCTTTTTGTTGCCCCTTACTGTCTTAAAGGTAGAATTAGACAAGGTAGAACATTCATTGAAAACTTTCTTTGTGCTGGTGACTCCACACCAATGAATGAGTTCCATATGTGAACCATAAAGAACCAGTGAGAGGGCGTTGAGGAAAGAACAATGCAGGGCTTCAAATGAAAACCACATGCTTACTCAATGTAAGCAAATTGCAATGAAGTATTTTCACTCAGGTCGCTGTGAAGGGCGGGATTCCTCTACACCTCTGGGCTGAAACTGTTGTGGAATTTTTGGTCAAAGCCATAACACTCAGAAACTCATTTGAGATATCAAGTTTCAGAAGAACATTCTGTAATACCAGAAGCAGTTACCCAGCTGGCAGGGGACAGACATGAAGTGCAGCAACAGGGCTCTGACTCTCATGCATCTGTCAGTTCACTTATGGCGAGGTCCAACCAGCCAAGCTCCTCTGTACAAATAATACAAACATCTGACGACGAACAGACGTAGTGTCTTTCTTTTCCCCATTAGATTATACTTTTAATCTCATTCTTTTATTACTCCAATTAAAGCCTAAACTGAACCCCAAACGTTGTACTGAACAAGAATATCCGTCACAAATAACACATTTAGGTCATTTCAAACCATTATCTATCTTTATTTAAATACATTTGTGGCTGAAAAGAAAAGATCACTAAAGGGAATCGTTGTTTCTCTATCTGAAGCTCTATCCAAATGAACAAAAACTCAGAACATAATTTTTCTTTCTTTTTATTTTTTTAAAATAACTCTGGTGTCAGAGCAGAAATATGAGGTTTGTGACTGCATCTCACCATATTTGAAAGGATAAAAAGACATGTTGACTGAGACTAGAATATGTGAAAATGTTTTGATTGGGTAAATTTACTGTAAATGTGTGAATGTATATGCTATACAATACCCCAACAAGCACCACTTGATTGTCCAATCACAGAGACAGGGGTCAGGTCCTGTTTGCTACAAGTTTATCCAACTTGAAATAGACAGGTCGGCTCTTGTCTGGATGATTAGATGATCAGAGCTTCTTCACTTTCTGCTTTGTTGTTGGTGCACATTTATTCTGAAAGGTAGATTTGCGCAGACTCGCTTCACCAACCCTCAGAAGCTTGAATGACTTCTTATCAAAGGACTCTCACAAATTTACACATTTGAATGTGTTTGTACAAAAAGTATTCACATAACTACTGTTGCTCAACTTTGTCTTTGGTAGATCAGTAATAAACTTTGCAAGCTATGTAAGGTATGTTTGTCCTCTATACTGAACTGGTGCATCGGTGCTTAGTGGAATGATATTAAATAGAGAAGACTGTTTGTCTCTCCAATTACTGGTGTCTGGAAACTGCCGGTAAAAGTTGAGAAAGCCTCAAAGGCCTGTTTTCTTATTGTTTTTAAAGCTCTATCTCACCATCATCGCAGACTTGTCTTTACAAAGCCTGTAAACAGCCATTTAACCTTGGCATATTAGGTCTGAGGAAAATTAAAAGCAGTCTGCACAGTAAAAAAATGTCTGAGGTTTTGAACTCATAACTGTGGGGAAATGTGGAACTAAGAGAGGAAAGGGTATTGGGGAGGGGGTGCACACGCTTTTTACATTGTGCCTTAGTCATGAATTATCCTTCAGCCTAGACAGAGTGGATGAGTCACAGCCTGCCAGCAGCTTAACATCTGACTAAAGTAGATCACATGAAGTATGCTTCCAAAGAGGAGAAGGAGACGATGTTCCAGTGCTTAAAAGACACTGGAAATATTATTGAAGTGACATGCAAGGACGTGACACATTAAATCATGCATAAAGACATGTGGAAATGAGCTTGCTTGCAAAGGGTTGACGCGGTTCTTGCTGTTTGTTTGATTTAAGCTCTTTTTATTTTTTAGGATTCTCAGTTTCTTTTTTAGTCTGTTTACCTCTTTAGATTTAAACAGTACCATCTGGGACATGTACTGGTCTCCTTTTAGTCCATTGTTTAGGTCTTTGAGCTTTGTGATTTATAAAAAGCAAATTTAGCTCTAATTAGAGCTTTCAGTTACTTGATACGTCATGCAGCTGAGACATATTTCAGTACTTCTGTGGATTGAAGTCAGTGGTATAACAACGAAGTGTTTAAACCTTCATGTCGTTTATACATTTAATTTGTGCACTATGTGTGTCTTTTTACCCTTTTAATAGGAGCCTAAAAAGACCTTTCTCTATAATATCAAAACCACAAACAATCTCAGCCTTCTAGCTGAAGGAGTGTGTAATTGTGGCTTGCTGACACAGACAGAAGTTTTCAAATTCTGCTCTGCATTGCAGATGGTTGTGACTTAGCACCGGCACCCGCCAGAGGCCCAGAAGAAGATGAAATTTCTCTTTGGGATTATCAGATGGAAGTCGCCAGCCCTGCCTTGAAGGGGGAAAACATCATCATATGCCTTCCAACGGGAAGTGGTAAAACCCGAGTTGCTGTATATATTACAAAGAAACATCTGGACCGCAGGAGGGAGGAGGGAAATCCAGGAAAGGTGGTTGTCCTGGTGAACAAGGTACAACAATATGAGCGTGCTGTATCTGACTTGAGGATTTTTCACTATTATGCTAACCCTCCTCTGACCATTTCAGTTCCAAAGAAAACACCCAGTTAATTTGCACATGTGGGTCAACCCCACCGCTAGTTCCATGTCAAACATTTTCGATATTTTCCTGCACTTTTTTCTCTAGGTTGTGGGAGATCTGCTTGGATTAGAGGTTTTGCAGCTTTAAAACTATGGCCTTGTGTATGGAAAAAGCGTGTGAAACAGTGATCCTATTAGACTGAAAGCCACAACAGAAGGATATTTTTCATCCACGAAGAGAATATAACAATATCACAGTTAGTTATGTCTGGGCAGAAAAGTTCAAACTGTTAGGAACAGTGGTGTGTGGATCCATGAGCAGAAACTTGACCAGGAAGAAAAGCAGGATCTCTTAATGCATTTTTCATTTATTGGACAACAATATATATATATCACTACTCCAAAAGCAGAGGCAAAATACAGAGATTCTTGTACAAAGTTTAAACTGAAAATCTCTGTGAAAATGGCACAGGAAAGAAAACATGAACAAAGTATCAACAAGTAGCCTGTAAAAAGAAAAAAATAAATAAATAAATAAAAATAGTCCAGCAGAAATTGACCTCAGGTGTGTGCTGTGAAGCCACACCTCACAAGGGGCCTTCAGGCACACACTGAAAACATCAGAGAAAACACACCAAAAAAGTCAGGACCTAACACCTCCAGCCTTTGTAAACTGTGAGCAAATAATCCCATACACCACCACGCATCTAATGTTTAACCCCTAGTCTTCAACAAAGCAAATAAAGACAGTTTAAACAGGATGGTAACAAACTGAATACTGCCAGCAGGTCAAACAGAAAACCGCTGGAATCTACTGAACAGGCTACAGGGAAAAAGTCTTCTGTAATGATGATCTGTAACACGGACCACAAGAAATACAGAATACAGCCGGTGTCCTCAGAGTTACCTGGCACCGATGCCGGTGAGCCTAAATTGTCCAGGAGAAATTGACCTCAGGTGTGTGCTGTGAAGCCACACCTCGCGAGGTGCCTTCAGGCACAGACTGAAAACCTCAGAGAAAACACAACCTAACACCCTTTGTAAACTTTAAGCAAAAAATAATCCCATACACCACCATGCATCTAATGTTTAGCTCCCAGACTTCAACAAAGCAAATAAAGACAGTTTATGTCTTGACAATATTTAACTGTGGTGGGGATTAACATGCAGACAAACAACCCTTTAAATCATCTGGAGCTGTGTAGTAACACAAACAATGCAGCCTCCTCTCCAGTCTGAAATAATCATTCTTGTGTTGTGTGCTCTTGTGCCCTGCAGATTCCTCTTGTTGAGCAGCATTACACCAAAGAGTTCCTGCCCTTTCTGAGGCGTTCATATAAAGTGGAGAAGGTCAGCGGAGACTCTCAGCTCAAAATCTCCTTTGCCAAGATTGTGGACAAAAATGACATCATCATTTGCACGGCCCAGATCCTGGAAAACTATTTGGAAAGGGCAAACGATGGAGAGGATGAAGGGGTGCGCTTGCGTGGTACGATTTCTCAAGACTTTTCGAAACGTTGAAAGTTTGCTCACGGTTTTCCATAGCTGTCTGTGAACGGGTTTCGGGCAAAGCAGTCGCAAGCACCTAAGACAAGCATTAAAAATGAGTTCAGAGGTGAAAGCTATTTTTCACCGACATGTGTTCATTCATATTTCGGCCAGATTTCAGTGGAATTTTGCAACCTTCAGCTTACTCCACCCATCCCAGGAGCATAAATTCCAACATTGAAACACTCCTCAAGAATATATTGAGCATATTACGTAGATAAAGAAAAACATCCTTTTTAACCAGCAGTTAAATGCATTTTTAACCCGTTTAAAAGTACCAGGCAGCCTAATTTACTTTGTATTTATGTCTTTTTACATTGTTTCAGTTATTTGGTCCGGAATTTATTTTTGTAACATCTTGTTGAGGATTCTGTTTGGTTTTTCGTTTCTTTTTTCCAAAACCTTTTGATAAAATCTGTCCTGGACTGAACTGTCGACATTGATACATTCTGGAATAGAAAGCCACCCAGAGGACTCGGAGCAGCAGCTCCCCTGACACGATCTTGTCAAAGTCTTCCGACTCTGCTGCTCGCTCCTGTTGGCATTCACCAGTCCAAGGTGGAATAGCCACCTCAGAGGAACATATGCTGTTTGTTTAAACGCCTGAAAGCATGTACTTTCTTTGTTTGTTTTTTTTCATCCTGCTTTCCAGGCCACACGTCTGCTCAAGCCATCAGCGTGTGGCTGATCAAATTCACATGAGAGCTTCTATCACCAACAACACATCAAGCTGCCACTCTACATTCTCCTTCCCCCCAGAGACACATTTTAATCGCACTGGTTTTTATTCATTGTAATTCACCTTGCTTCCACTAATAAAAATCAGGGTTAGTTTTGAAGCAGTCAGCTGTCCCATAGATGCTACTGAAAGGTTTGTGCTCTGGTTTGTGTGGGAGGACCTCTTACTCACACAGGCAGCAGCTGTAAACAGTGAGGGAAATCACCTTCTTTCATTTGAGAAACAAGAACTAACAATTTCAAAATGGCTGTTAAGAACTGCCTCGCCTTTGTCACCATCTTTCTCTCTGGAAAGCAAAGCCTTGGGAGAATTTAGGAGAGATAGATGTTGTTTTAATAGCAAAAGCAAGTGACAGTTGTACAACAAATCCCTGGGTGCTGCTCCGGCTCCGAAGCATTTATTGTTCTTTTTCTCATCCAGCATTCATGATGTTTGTTGACGGTGTGATCATTTTCTCATGCTGTGCTGTGCCATCTGCTCATACAGACCTGACCCTGATCGTCATAGACGAGTGTCACCACACTCAGAAAGGAGAAGTCTACAATCACATAATGATGCGATACTTGAAGCAGAAGCACAAGAACATCAGGCTCAGGAAGATGGAGAAGACGCCTGTGATCCTCCCGCAGATTCTGGGTCTGACTGCCTCGCCGGGAGTTGGGAAAGCTACTAAAATGCAGAAAGCAGAGGACCACATCCTTGGTGTAAATACTGTTCTAAAGCTTTCTGTCTGCAGTCGTATAGACACAAATGCCAGGACGTGCTAGCCTATGTCGGAAAATATTAGCTAATGGAATATGAGATGTTAGAGGCTATGGCCTGGAAAGTCTTTTATGGATATATTGAATAACAGCCATGTGGTTTTACTCTGTGGTGGATTTTAAGAAAATAGGTAATACTGCACCCATCTGCTTATCTTTTAACATAGCAAATGTTTGCGTTTCTTTTATAGATTTGTGCCAACCTGGACGCTTCCAAAATCATGAGTCTTGGGGATTTCAAAAAGGCCATAAAGAAAACCATTCTTAACGTTGAAGATAGAAAGCAGGTACATTTGTTCCACAGGGAATTTATACATCGTTAGTTAATCAACCTAGCTAAAGAGTCATAAAAAATCTATATGTCCACTTGTCTTTGATACAATGTTTTGTGTATGACTACATCTCCTTTTCAGGATCCCTTTGGTGAGGTAATCAAGAGAATCATGAATGCCATTCATGATCACGCCAAACTGACCCCCACCTGTGACCTGGGCACTCAGAATTATGAACAGTGGGCTGTTCAGAAAGAGAGACAGGGTAAGCGCAGAGGATTCTGCTCAGCTTCAGCTATATTACCATGATCATTCTGTATTTTGGGATTTGAATTCTGAAGACAGAGAAAAATAAGGACTGGATGAGGGATCCTGAGGAAAAATCTGAATTTCACAGTATAAAAGTTCTAAATGAACCAGTTTATATTCTCAAACAGTTTTTCAGTACAGTTGTTGTCTGTTAACAAGCTGATAACTTTTATATTATCTGGAGATTTTTGCATGTCACCCAATAGTCCTTCGGCTTTAAATTGTTTCTCCCCAATTTTCAGCTGCTAAAGAGGAGGATCAGACAGTGAGGGTTTGTGCAGATTACCTTCGCCGGTACAATGAGGGCCTGGTTCTGAACAACACCATCCGCATGCAAGATGCCCTCGGCTACCTGAGCAAATACCACAAGGAGCAAATTAAGAAGAAAACTGTCCCTGATGATGAGTTGATAATACAAATAACAGATACTGAAAGGTTCCTCCTCAGATTGTTTGAAGGTATTGTCCTTGGGATTTATCCCCATCTTTTACTGCTTTAAGGAAATAAAATAGCTATTTTTTTCAATTCCAGAATTTAGTTTCCTGTCAGATATTGTATGTAAAAATGAATGCTTTGTCTTTAGTAGCTGGTTAGCCCAGCTTACCACAAAGTTAGGAAACTAAAGCAGCAAAATCCACCCCACAAAGCCCTCAAATCTCCCTTATAATACTTTAGATTCTTTAAAAACAAATCTACTGAAATATGCAGTAAGTGAACTATAAAGTTTCTGATTGACAGCAAAAAAAAAACAGGTTATGTGGTTACACCATAGTTTTGTGGATATCTTTTAATTCCCATTTTCACATAATTTTTAGTCCTTTTTTCTCAGCTTAGCTGATCTGCTTATAGGTGCTGTTGTAAACTAACTAATGTGAATATATCGCTCAGTTCTTTAAAATCTGTGTCCTTCCAGACAACAAGGAAGAGTTGGAGATGCTTTCAAAGCTTCCCGAGTATGAAAATGACAGCCTATCAAAACTGAGAACAAAAATTCTGCAGGAGTTCAGCAGCAGGAAAGAGGCCAGAGGGATCATTTTCACCAAAACACGCCACAGCGCCATGACCCTGAGTCAGTGGATTCAGGAAAACTCCAAATTTGCTGACATTGGAGTGAAACCTGCATATGTGATTGGAGGAGGAGACCAGAGTGACACCAAACCAATGACAGCTGTCAGTGCACACGACATCAGACACCATACAAATGTCTCTAGTGTCCTTTCTTGTGTGAAATTTGCTTTAAACTCTTGTAAAAATGTCTTCCCACCAGGCAGAGCAAAGAGACGTGTTGAAAAAATTCAGCACTGGTGAAGTGAACTTGCTGGTTGCTACCACAGTGGCAGAGGAGGGTTTGGACATACCAGCCTGCAATGTTGTAATCCGATATGGTCTTGTTACCAACGAAATCGCCATGATTCAGGTCAGTGACTTGGTCCATTGATTAAGTTAAGATGTTGGGCTTATTCCCTTCGTTGAATTTCATAAAACATCTCATTTAAAGCTTCATCCTTTATATTTACATTATTTCATTCAGCAAATGTTTTTTAAACAAAGCAACTTTCAAGAAAAATTTCATAAAAAATCCAGTGTAATTTACAAATAGTTAACAATAAACACTAAAGAAGTTGTGCCCAAATATAAAGCGACTACGACACTGTGAATGGACTCTTAATGTCACCCCTTATGGTATCAGTTTTATCTTCTTTAGAAGGCATTGCTTGCTGTGCAGTAACAATTAAATTGGTTTCAATTTAATCAAATCTTGAGTGTAACTAAATCAACAACGATACCATCCAGTCGAGCCCAATCAGTTCATGAAGGTATTCACATAATATAATTTCATAAAGAAGATTTCTTTGCTCAGAGAACAAATAAAACGCCTCGCCCAGAGTTCAGAGCAGTGCTGCTCCGAAAAGCGTTCACGATTCTGTAAAAGTCAGTAATTATAAAATTGCCATTTTTATTCTTAAACAAAAACCACGCTGATTATCAGTCCTCTGGCTCAACATCTTTCAAACTCTGCTAACAATGGCCGTGTCCTTTGACACTGATGGCTGCACACCAGCTACCCGGTGCATGGCTGAACTAGTGGCAAGAAGTGGGTGTGTAATGTATGTTCAGTACAGTTTTTATGTTTTTCAGTCCAAAGGCAGAGGGAGAGCTGAGGACAGCTCGTATACTGTGGTTGATGTCAAGAACTCTGGAGTAGCTGAGAAGGAGTGTGTTAATGAGTACCGTGAGGACATGATGGAAAAAGCTATTAAGAAAATCAAAGCCATGAATCAAGCAGCTTATGACAAACAGGTAAATAAGCACATGCGAAGACTTTGGATGTATTTCCATCTGATAGTCAAATCATTGTGAGATTCTTTTGTTTCTTTTCTTCAGATCACTGAGTTTCAGCTTCAGGCCATAATGGAGGAAAGGGTGAGAAAGACCAAGCACAATAAGAAGGCCGTAAAGAAGGAAAGTCCATCTGCTGTGAGGTTTAGCTGTCGACACTGCAGCCGGCCGGTCTGCAGCGGGGAAGACATCCAGATCATTGAGAACATGCACAGAGTCAACGTTACTCCCACGTTTAGGTAGAAAAGACCATTCTTATCTGACTGTCTTTATTGAGCTGTTGTCAGTAAATTTGCTTTGGTGATTCATGAATTATATTGTGTTCTGCACAGTCAACTTTTCATTCAGAGAGAAAACACTACTCTTCAGGAGCGACTTCTGGATTACGAGACCAACGGCACCATAGCTTGCAAAGAATGTGGGCAGGTGAATATGTTTCAGGGCTTCCTGTTCTTCCTCAAAACATTATTTTGGCAGCAATAACAGATCAGATCATCTCTCGTTGCTTCATTTGCTCCAGATCTCTCTTGTTATAGACTAACCTTGATGTTTTTTTGCAGCAATGGGGTTCAATGATGATGTACCGTGGGATTGAATGCCCCTGTCTCCACGTGAAGAACTTTGTGGTGAACGTAAATGGTAAAAAGATTAGCAATTGCACAAAGTGGAGAGAACTCCCCATCCAGTTTTCAGACTTCGACTACATTGAATATGCCAACCGCATGGAGCAGAGCTCAGATGAAGAGGAAACAGAATAAAAGGACAAAACCGAAAGGCTCTGCTGTATTTTTGTCATTCATAGTGTGGTTTAAGCCTATGTAACCCCTCGCACTGTTGAATCAAAGTCCTCCTTTCACTGCTAAATTATGATTTCATTGATGGGGATGGTTTTAATTGTGTGTCCAAAGCAAGTGCTATTTTTCCTTTTATTAAATCATTCTAATGAAAGATTGTACGATAGTTACAGGCTGAATGAGTTGTTGAAGCGATCACCTGAACTGGAAAAATGAATAATAAAGTGAAATTGTCCTCTCTAATGTGTGTTGTCTCATGAGATGGGAGCCACTGAGCCTGTGATAGCCCCTCAGAGCCCACCTGTCAACTCACATTCACACAAACAGGTGCTGTTGATTCTCAGCTTAACTGTCAGGGAGTCCTGCGATTGTCACAATCCCACTTTTAAAGAGAGGTTTTCTTTACCCAGTGTGTGCACATTCATCATAAATGAAAGCTTCATGTTTTATGGCACTTAAATGACTAAATTCTCAGTCTGGCATCACCCCACATTATCATTAAAGTTCAATCCAGTCACCCGTCCAAATCAGCCTCTTTGCAGGTTCAATGTTAATTCAACAAAGAGGGAAATCCGGGATTTCTGGTTTCTCACGTCTGTTGCGTGAGTGACTTGCGCCCTAGGCGGAAAAAAAGCCACTTCCTAATACCAGTAAGTTGTGCGCTCCTGGAAAGTTGTGCGGCGGATTGCAGGGAGGCATCTCTCTGCTGTCTGTCGGGCTGCTCTCAGGAACGCAGCGGGAAGTGGAGGCAGCTCTGACTCGAACCAGGACGGAGTTCTTTTTTCTCATGTTGTCGTGCTCGGCTTAAAAGTTGGAGTTGCGGGTGTTCTGCTGTGAGGGCATGCCCAGCAGCCTGCACGGGACCGCGCACACGCCAGCGACCTCAGAGGATTACTAGACTGAGAGCTTCAGCGCGACTCCTGCATTGCCATGGTCAGTAAGCGATTTACCATCAACTTTGAGTAAAGTGGGGCACAGTCGTAACACGTCCAAGCCGCAGACAGTCAGTGAGGGCTCTCCCTCTCCGGTGGGGCGCATGGCGAGGCTACCGATTCAGGGGCAGCCGCCACAGTTTTTGGGGATGGTATTTTCACCACATTTTCTCGGGTGTGTTTTGCCTCTTTCTTTCTTTTCTTTTTTTTTTCTTCCTGTCACCTTTCACAGGGCTGCAACAAGGTGATGTGGGGAGTTGTAGGGGCGGCTGTCGTCATCACGTTAATAACGATCCCAGCTGTTCTGTACAACAGTAAGTCCTAAAGCTGGCCTGCTGCTCCTTTTTTCTGTCCTCAGGAGTGAGATCATGGCAAAAGCAGGCTTCTGCCAGCCATTGTGTTCAAGCGCACCCAAGTGTGGTTTTGATTACTTCTGAGCGTTTCATCTAAGCCATCATATGAGTGAACTCATGCAAAAGTTGTGTGTCTGTTTAGAATCCGGGGCCACCAAAAGGCCGTTCACGCTTGCTGATTACTTCAATGACACCATAGCCAAGAGGTCCTACAATTTGTACTGGATATCAGGTATCACTGACATTTGTTAGTTGTCTTTCAGCTGCTAATTGGTTGACATTGGAGCAACAATTCAAATTTGCATATGTTGTTCCTAAACTTTTTATCCAGTATCATTTATTTTTCCCTTGCGTCCGCAGATAAGGAGTATCTGCATAAAACAAGGGACGGCAATGTCTTTCTCCACAATGCTGACACATTGGAGACGTCACTATATTTGCCCAATTCAACTTTTGTAATACATCAACTTTTTTCCATATGAACATTTTACCACCAGCACAGATTGGTTATGCTATAAATAAAGGACAGGATACCTCATAGTGATGTTTGCATTTCAATTTCAGGCCAAAGTGGATGCCACCGACTACTTCCTGTCAGGAGATTATAAGTACATTGCATTTGAAAACAATTACACAAAGGTGACATGTCCCCACTGAACTGAATGTTGTCATTTTCATGTTCTTTCAATTTTGTTTAAGCTTAAACTGGTTTGTCATTAAAAACTTGAAAATATGCAAACAACTTTTTTTTTTTAATCAAATCCTGCAGAATTGGAGGCATTCGTACACAGCTTCATATTCCTTCTATGACAGGGAAAAGTCGTGAGTATAATTGTCTTCATTGCATCTATAGTAATATTAGTCAGAAATACAGAGAACCGTTAAAAAAAATTTTGTTTTCATAAAGGATCAGTTTTAGTTGTTTCCTCAAGAGATTTTGAATTGATCTGTTTTCGTTCCAGATTATGCAAACTGGAGTGCCTAAAGGCCTGTTATTAGTGCTACAGCCCAGCAGAGCCCATTAAACCCATCGCTATGTCAGCAGAGCTTTTAGAAGACTCTTACTTTTTCAGAAATGTTAAGGTTGAGGCTTTAGATAAAGTGAAATGAAATTAAATTAAAATAAATATACAACATCTCATCAATAAATTCCACTCAGTAACTTAAATAATGAATAACCTAAATAGAAGGCACTGTAGTGCAATTCATTTTTCCCATCAGACGTTGAAGGGACGATGATTATCACTATTGTCACTCTTTTGTTGTCCCATTGTAGAACCTTCATTACACCGGTGAGCCTTCCTCCTGCTGTGCAGTACTTCACCTTTGCACCAACGGGAAACCAATGTGTAAGTAGACAGCAATATTTCACCGACAGCTATGCTCCTTGAATTTGAAACATAGACTTAAGGAGCACTTCCTGCTGATGTTTCTTTGCACTCAGTTTGTGACTTTTGATGTGGATGTGCAGTGTAATTGCAGCTGAGACATCAATAACGGTTTTTACACTGTGTTTTACAGGCCTACGTCTTAGATTTCAACATTTATTTAAAGTCTGACGTCACTGCTGAAGCTTTACAGGTGACGGATAATGGGAAAAGGAATGAGATTCTCAATGGTATCCCTGACTGGGTGTATGAGGGTAGGTGTAACTATATGTGTTTTGGTTAGTTTTGTTTTTCTTTGACATAACGTCTGGTTTCTGTGCTTCTGTTTTTTCCCTCCAACTTTCAGAGGAAGTGTTTGCGTCGAATGGTGCAATATGGTGGTCCTCAACAGGGAAATTCTTGGCTTATGCAGAATTTAATGATGTCGAAGTTCAGAAAGTGGAGTTCTCTTGGTTTGGATCAGAACAATATCCTGAGACCGTGTCTGTGCCATACCCAAAGGTACCGTCATATAACGTTTCCAATCAGAATACATCGTCCTCCCTAATATAAGGATTTATTGTGTTCATGTTCTAATACCATGCAGTTATTTATCATAAGTGTTTTGCTTTTCTTTGGTATAGCCAGGATCAAATCTTACCAAGGTGAAACTGTTTGTTGTTAACACCACAAACCCATCCCTCCGCTCACAGCTGGCTCCTCCTGCTTCGATGGCCTCTGGGTTTGTGTAGTATTTCGCACATATTATCTTTTCCCAGTCAAACTTGTAAAGTAGAGGGAAACTCAATGTTTTTGTCGTGTGCCTCATGTGAAGACCTTGTCACTTTCTGTTGCCTTTACTCAGTGATCACATTTTGTGCTCAGTGACCTGGGTTACAGATGAACGCGTCGCTGTGCAGTGGCTCACAAGGAAACAGAATCATGTGGTTGTACAGATGTATGACCTCGATGGAGGGAGCTGGAAACAAAAACAGGTGGATGTCACTTCTCTGGTTACCTGTCTGCTCCAGGAGTCACCACTGGCTGTGGATTAGATGGTATTTTAGGATTACTAATGAATTGAAAATGAATGTTTTTTTACTTTATACAGATACTTGAGCAAACGAGCAAGACGGGCTGGGTTGGCCATGTAAGTTTCAGAAAAGTGTACAGTGGTTCATATCATTGATTCTCCACAGTTCAATTCATTGATTATAAGATACTGTGTTTCTTCTTAGTATGTGCCCCTGCCTCTTTTCTTTGCTGAAGATAAGATCAGTTTTTACAAAGTGATGAGCGATACACAGGGCTACAAACATATCCATCATGTAAAAGACGTGAGTGCTTTCATTCTTCCTTATTTATACAAAATATACTATTGCCTCATGTCTTTGGTGTTCAGAGACTAAATGAATGTGATTTCTTAAGGGTAAAGCAACACCCATTACCTCTGGAAAGTGGGAGGTGATCTATATATCCAAATTAACAAAGGATGCCCTGTGAGTGATGACTTTCTGTATTTTTGTGAAAAGTGCATAAGTTGCAAAATCAGATATATAGGTAAGTGAAAAGCTGTTTGTTTCCCTCAGATATTTTGTGAGTAATGAACACCAAAGAGCACCTGTAAAGAGAAATCTCTACAAGTAAGTAAAACTGCCCTCTGAGTGATGCCCAGACCACTGCAGCACTTAATCTATTTTAGAGCCCAGAATGGCTCATGGACAAATTATTTTTAGCTAAAATGTTTTCCGCAAACAATGTTTTACGTAACATACTTGACATGTTCCTTTTTCTCTTTCTTTCTTTATTTTTCTTGTCAGGCTTACGATTGGAAGCAGCCCGTCGGCCCCCCAGTGCCTCACCTGCGACTTGTATCCGGACAGGTGTCAGTACAACTCAGCTTACTTCAGCTTTGACGCTTCCTTCTACCGAATGGATTGCTATGGTCAGTTACCCTTCCACCTGTTCTCTTAGGCAATAACTCACCCAAGTGGGGGACATCTGTAAGCAATAATCAGAGTTTAGACAGTTCCCCCCACCCCATCCCCAAATGTCGCACAAAAGAATCGGTGAGTTATCAGCCATTATTTATTTCTTTGTTTTCCTTATGCCCAGGACCTGGCTTGCCCCTCTACACACTCATGGACAACAGGGGCTCAGGCTCAGGTACACAGACAGAAATATCTTTTTATTTCTTCTTTTTTTGCATAAAGCTTGTCATATTATATAGGGAAATATACATTAGATTTGCTGCTTAACTATAAAAGAGCAGTAATACTGGAACATTTTTATACAAGTACTGAGTTTCATTAATGACGCAAGCCAGTGTAAACATAACAGGGGTCTTAATAACTTGCTAGATACAATTGTGTCAGCACAAAAATTTTGGCTCTTTTTCAGAGGTCTCGGTTCTTGAGGACAACAAACTTCTGGATAATATTCTCTCTGTGTTCCAAATGCCCACAATACAACATGGCACCATTAAAGTTGCTGGATTTGGTGAGAAAATACTGCCACCTTGAACTGGAAAGCACTTCCAGATTGCGTTTACATTCAGCTCCCTGTTGTCTTTATAAAAGCTATAATCTGCATTTGTGGATGGCGACACGAACTGTGTTCACATAGCGATTTCTGGATGTGTTCCTGAACCAGTACAGTGATTTCCAGGATGGAATTTGGTTTATTCTTAATACAAGACTGCGCAAGCAGAAGGTTGACATAAGTTTATGATGTCAAGTCAGCTTTAGGTCAGAGACACTGACCTTCCAAACGAGTCACAGGCTGGTTTCTCTAAGAAACATTTACTCATCTAGCATTTTGACTGCCATGACCTTTTTTAAATATCTTGTTTGAAAATCAATGGGTTTTCATTTTTTCTGAGCTGGAGATATTCAAAAAGTCCTACATCTCTTCGAGTCGAATCAAATATATTGAAAAACACAGTGCTTCCATTTTTTCTCCCCCAAATCAACAGATCTTTGGTATGAAATGATGTTACCTCCAAATTTCCAGAAGTCCAGGAAATATCCTCTTCTTATTGACGTGTGAGTCAATCATCTTCAGGGCTCAACAATGTTTTTTTGTTATTTTTGTTTCCAACCTTGGTGGCATTTGATATTGTTGCTGCTCTGTGTAGATATGCTGGCCCCTGCAGTCAGAGTGTGAGCTACCGCAACAAGCTGAACTGGAGCACCTACCTTTCCAGCTCGCACGGGATAATTGTGGCTAGCTTTGATGGAAGGGGAAGCGGGTACCAAGGTGACGAAATATTGCATGCTATCTACAGGCGCCTGGGTACGTTTGAAGTGGAGGATCAGATAACAGCGGCGAGGTAAAGTGTCAATAATTTCTGTCCTCCCCACATTACAAGCAGTTGTCTTACAAATGTTGGTGTCACATGATGTAAGTCATGGTCCAGATTTTTAAACCTGCCGCTATGTGTCTTTCGTGTTACAGGAAATTCATCGACATGGGTTTCATCGACAAAGATCGAATCGCAATATGGGGCTGGGTAAGCTTTCTTTGGATGCTGTCCTCTATTCTTCTGCATCTTTGTGGTACATTCAGTGAATAATCTCATTTATTATTCAGTCATATGGTGGTTATGTCGCCTCGATGGCCTTGGGAGCTGGTACAGGGATGTTTAAATGTGGGATTGCTGTGGCCCCAGTTGCCAAATGGGAATATTATGGTAAGTAAGTAAAAGGAAGTGGTTTCAGCATATTAAACATATACCGTACTTAACTTTACTGTTACAACATGTCACAGGTCTTAGCTGAATATAAACACTGAGTAAAACTCCCTTTTAAAGTTTTGAATATCATTTTCAATAATATCTGACACAGTTGTTGTTCTATCTTCCTCCCCCTCCTGTTTCCGTTGAATAACGCCACGGTTGTATTTTCTTTTAAAGATGCTGTGTACACCGAACGCTACATGGGCACGCCATCAGAGAATTCAGACTCTTACAAGGTAAATATCATTATGTTTTAACTTTTATATTCATCAACTTGCATATTTGTATGGTTATGCGTAAGATGTGATAATATAACAGTGAATTAACTCCTTTTTTTTTAAAAGAATTCTACCGTGACATCCAGAGCAGAAAACTTCAAGAATGTGGAGTATCTATTGGTTCATGGCACAGCAGATGGTATGTTCTTTTTTTTTTTCTAGCCTCATCTGTTTCTGGCTTAGATGTATCAGCTCTGTTTGTCATCAGGGCATCAGATAAAACACTGAAATAATGCACAAAGTGTCTCTATTTAGATTGGAAAGTGCCTTGAAACTTGACCTTTGTTGAGTCCCTTAGTCACATAGTGAAAGCCCTGTTTTTCCTGTAGACAATGTCCATTTCCAGCAGGCTGCACAGATCTCCAAAGCTCTGGTGAATCAACAAGTGGACTTTGAGGCAATGGTAAATATTGGCTCAGCGACGAATTGCTCATATCAGCCTGGGTGGTGTTGGTTTAATGGGGGCTTCAACAGCTATTACACAAGGAAAAAAGTGTGATTTGAAATGTTAATAATATTTAATGTTGGATTTTATTATATTGTCTTTGAACTAATTATGATTTGGTGTTAATTTCAGTGGTACACTGACAAGGACCATGCTCTCCAGGGATCAGCCTACCACCATGTATACACCCTAATGAGTAACTTCCTGCAGAAATGCCTCCTTACTCCCAAATAAATAAGTAAACAAACTCAGTTGGAATAAAAAAAAAAAAAAGTCAGGTCAGTTTTAGACATTTGTATTGTCTGTCCATGTTTCATTGCTCAAACTACTGAGCATTTGTATTATATTTTGAATTATAGAACCGCTGTCTAAGTATGTGACCACTGCATGCATTTATATTTGAGTGTGATAACTTATGGAGCATGAATTACACTGCACTGATTTGCTGTGGAGTCGTATCAGTTGTGATTTAGTTATGTTCTGATGAGGGTGAAATAAATGTTGTTTTGAACCATAAGTTTCTTTTCCTTTTTTAAAATTTTTAGCTCTGTGCTGAAACAAACAGATTAACCTCCATTGCAATTTCAAAGAATAATGTTTGTATATTATCTGTTTTGCCTTGATTTAATTAAAACAGATGTTACAGTCAGCAAAATGAATCCATGCAAACATCTAACTTACCTTTTTGCCAAATTTTTTCATATTGTAAATAACTTTTTTAAAAAGGCACAGTAAAGATAATTTTGACCAATAAGGAGGCAGAACTTTAAGCAGGTAGTTGGGGTAGACATCATGCTTGATTTGGAGCCTTAAAATAACAGATTTCACTATCCAGATGTCAGGTAGTTTTTTTTTGTTTTTTTTAAAGCAAAGTTAAATACGTTTAGGTGAGTGAGCCGGAAACTGTGTAATGGGTTGAGAGTAACAGAGAATATGGTAAGCTTTCTGTGATGTCACCTGGGAGAGTGCTCCGCTATATAAGACTGAGCAAATCAGGAGGGGACCATGAAGCAACTCCAGAAGCCAGGAAAAGGGACACCAAACGACAAGCCTCATAATTTCTCTCAAACGCTCAACAGAAAGGAGCACAGGTGGCGCTTTTTTTAATACCGTTACTGAAATCTAAATGACCTTCTTACAATGAACTTACTTATTGAAATATTTTCACAGTGTTCGTATTTGTCTGTTGTCTAATTTGTTTTTCTTTTTTAGAGGTTTAAACAATGAAAAGTGCTCAGTCTCTTGCTGGACTCCTGCTCCTCATCATCATCCAAGGTAGCTGGCAGGTGCCTGACCAGGATACAGACCGAAACTCTCTGTAAGATTTTCATCATCGTTATTCATGTCAGCCAGTTCTGTTTCTTGATCCAGTTTAGGGTCACAGAGGTGTAACCTATTATGGATTATTTTTAATTGAATTACTTATTAGAATATGGATTATTAGTTATGTTTTTTAATGTTATTATTTTAAAAGGATTAACAGAAAGTAGAAAATTCTGTGGCAGTTTATTAATCACTACAGAGGAAGCATGGACTGTTGCTATAAAGAAAAAGGGATCCTCATTTAATGACAGCAAAACAAGTTTGAAAAATATTTTTTCAGCAGACATCGATAGTGAGAAATGTGGATCTATGGAGTTATTTGATTTTATTATGTCTTTGATCACTCTTTTCTGATTGTTTTATAAGGAACCATTAGTATAACATATTGAAACTGGATTCTTTCAATATGTAAGATCATACTACATCGGTCATAAACTTTATGAGCTGTTGGAAGTATTGTGGCAGTGTATAATCAGCGACAGGTTGACAAGAACATCAAGCCACTAAGGAAGGCTGCGATGTAGAGGACCACTTCAGGAAGTAGACACTCCATGGGATCGTAGGCTCTACAGCAGAGGGAAAGTTCAAGTGTTTTCTGGTCTGCTCATTTGTTTCTTGATGTGTCCTTTTTAGGTCATCGAGTGAAAATTCAATGTTTAATGGACCCATTGAGTTCCCAAACATGAAGAGGCACTCAGAGGGAACATTTTCCAATGATTACAGTAAATATCTGGAGACAAGAAGAGCACAAGACTTCGTCCAGTGGTTGAAAAACTCCAAAAGGAATGGGTGAGTGCATTTATTCTTTTTAAATCACCCTTACAATTAATTGTTTGACATCTACACTAAGGTTTAATTTTGTTTAAGTGATGGAGCTAGATTATTGCTACCTCTGATTTTCTTCACCTGAGCCAGTGTACTGATCCTGAGCTTCAATCCTGTGTGTCTGTTTTTAAAGGAGTCTGCTCCGACGTCATGCAGACGGTACCTACACCAGCGACGTGAGCTCCTACCTGCAGGACCAGGCAGCCAAGGAGTTTGTGTCCTGGCTGAAGACCGGCCGCGGCAGAAGAGAGTAGATTCAAACTGAGAAGTCCTCCTCTCAAAATAATGCAACTACTCTCTGCTGATTCTTTGCCATTATGTATGTTCCACAATCTGTAGTTCCTCCTGATAATGTCATCAGATTCCCCTCTCAAGAAGACCCTCAGCTGTTGAAGGAAATGCTGTGAAAATGCAAAAACTTTAGAAATGCATCTCAATCATAAATGCTGTTGGAAATTTTACCAAGCAGTCATTATTTTTTACTGTTTGTCAGTTGAATCTCCCTGTTAACATACATGTGGAGGAGTATGTAGCAACATCCCTCACCTTTGATCTTCTTTGAGAACTTTTGTGGATAGTCTTGAGATTTTTTTTCTCGAATGTCACATTCTGTTTTCAATAAAGAAATGTGTACGATCCATCAGTTCCCTTTCTAATACATCAAAATCCAGAGGGGTGGTTTAAAATATCTTTGGAGTTTTTTTCCACAGAATATTCAGAGAATAAGTTATGTCAAATGCACCAAATACATTAAATGATGTCGAATAAGAATTAAACAATGCACGTATTAATCAGCCACAATTTCAAGAACAGTTTGAGGACCATTTTGATCCGTGTTTTGTCATTAGAAGTGATTCTGCAGTGTGCATCACTTTTTTTTTCTTGAACATTTCTTCTTAATCCTCCATGCTTAGGGAGGCAGAACAAAAATCAATAAACACGTCCCTCCTCAGAGAGAACTGAGCAGTGGGATTTCCACTAGGTAGCACAGTGGTAGGCATGTGTCACCTGTCAGCAGCTCGCTGGAGAAGGATTTCCCATTGATGCTCCGGCTGCACACCAAGGACAGCCGTGCCAAATAAGAAAAGAAAGAAAAATGAAATTATGTCAATCAACGTGGTATTAAACTCATTGGGAACACTGACTGGGTCGACACTCTTGATTTCCTCCTGGCACTGAGACAAAACAGTAATTCACATGAGCCAGCTGCATGACACGCTCTGGGATGTGCTTCCTCTCTGAGCTGTCAGCGGCAGCACATCAAACCATCTGTTGATTACAAGCCAACCTCTGCCCACTTCTGTCTGTTTATATGACAAATCTACGAATTGGGTTATGAATTGGTCCTTGTACCTAGCAGCACTGACAGGGTGTCCAGTCATCTCCAACTCAGCCATTAGCATAGCTGCCAAATCAGTTAATGGCCTTTTTATACAAACTTCGACACTAAATGATGCACTTGATGGAAACAGAAGAAACAAACCAGCAATTGTAATGACTAATAATTTACAAGTCATGTTTATTATTTGCTTGAATTACACAAGGATGTTTTTTTCAATTTGGTACAGAGAAAACAAACTAGTAATCTCATGTGGGCTAGAGCTTAAATTAAAATAATCTTTGCAAAATATTGTAACTAAAAGTAATGATAAAAAAACGTGTACGGAAGCATTTTATGCAAGCTTACTTTTTCTTAATGTTCACATTTTATCATTCTGAAATTGTCTGGCTAAAAACTTGAAGCTGGCCACCACGTGTGCCGTGTGTGAGGGCTGACAGTTAAAACCTGTTTTATACACACTTCACATTTCACAATAACAAATAATTTCACCAAAACGTTTACCCTTATACAAAAGACAGGTAAATATGCTGATTTATGCTCAGATTTATTAAGGTAAGCACACCCAAAACACTTAGCTAGTAAAACATTTTTTTTTCCTTGAAAAAAAAATCCTAAAATTAATGAACCCTCATTTTGTTCATCATTTTAAAATTCAAGAAATGTAACCGTGATAAAATGTTTCTTTGGATAAATGTTATTTTTCAATACTTAAATGACTCTGTAAACTTCAAACAAATATAGAGCACATTAGGATGATCTTGAAATTGATTTATATTTAAAATGTAAGCATTAAACCTACACTTGAAAACAACATACTGTAATTCTTTTGACATTATGCAGCAACAATAAATAGAAAATAGATAACACAAAAATATACATACCTAAGTAATTTCCCATATATTAGGGTACCATCATTTTGGCAGAAAGGGTTATTGCATTTGGTTGCTAAAAAATGTACAAGTAACTGTTGTAACATACAAGAGGTTTGAATGAGAAACGTTAAAATAGTTTTTAAGTACATTCAGTAAACCAGCAACCATCCAAATGTAGAGAAGCTCCATTTGACAACAACATGAATGAAATATTAAGGTTGGACTGGATTCTAAACAGTGTTTTTTCAGGATCAGTAGCCACACACATTTATCCACTTACACATAGATTCACATTGCTAAAATCGAATGGTCGATAGTCTGCAGCACACAGATCTGTAGCCTCTACCGCTGCAGCTGAAACAGAGACAAAAGCAAGACACCTCCCACTATTCATCTTAGCATTACCTACATTATCTTAAAGCAGGGAAATAGAAGAAAAAGAGCAGGATGACTAATTTTCATAACTGAAAAAAAAAAAAAAAAAAAACATATGTCCTCAGAAGATACCAAGTCATGTGAATACTGAAGAGATAGAAGAGTTCTTTATAACATTGGAATGGGCTGAAGTCAGGTGTCTTCATGAGGTTAAAGCAGGAGAGAAAAAGTGGTAAAAAGCAGAAAGGCATTATCAGACAAACATACAACACGTTAGGCATCAAAAGAAAAGGCCTTCACCAGGATGGCATAACATTCTCTTGTTTAAGATTATGATATATGGTGACCTGAATGAAAACATGATAACTACTCTCACGGACAGAGTAGACCCTTCTCCCATCTACTTTCATCTCAGGTGTGACTACCTATGAAATTAATCCGTCTACCCTTCCTATGGGAAAAACAAATCTGTATGCTTGAGAAATTATAATTCTGCATTTGTGCAAAATGATCTTACCCAATTATGAGACCTTTTCTTCCTTTTGTTAGCCACTGGCATTCCACGTATTTCCAAAAGAACCTTTCGACATTTCATCTGTGATGTTGATTATGGGTATTCCTCTGTAGAAACAGACACCAGGACAGTTCAAAGATAACGTTTCATTTGACACGATATTTACAAAGATGTTAATATTGCCTGTGAGGCTTTCACAATTCTAAAATAACTTACTTATATCCCCCTAGTGGCACTTGCACAGCTCCCTCGTCTTCTGCTAGTACACTTTGCTCCTCCTCCTGAATGATGAAATAAAAGTAATAATTCAGTGCAGACATGAGAAAAATCAATAGAATTGTTTCAACTGTGCGTGCATGTGGGGGTACAACATCCTGTTAGTGCAGCATTTGTGTATTAAATCACTGGTACCTCTTCAGCATCCTCAAGCTTTTTCTTCTTGCTTTCTGGCATGAGATCATCAAGCCAGCTTAGCTCTCTATTGGTGAAGATACAGTCCATTAATTTCCTGATGAACACCAGAGCCAACACCTGCCGGGTTGACAGAGAAACATACAGCTAAATCCATAAGAGCATTACAGGTAACATAAAAATTCTTAAGAGAGAAAAAAAAAAGTAAAGGGTTTTTGTTTTATCACAGCTGGTACATTAACCTTTCAACCATTTTTCCCTTTAGTTTGTCTCAGGAAAGCTTTAGGTTTACCTCTGTAGCATGCAAGTTTGTCTCATGCATAAGGGTCCTGCAGATGTCACTGGGGTGTTAACTCACCATCATAGGAAATACAATAGCAGCCTTTGAGGTCTTGATAACCCAGAGCAGAATCAGACAGCTGAGCTGGATTATGGTGAAGAGGTGCACCTTCCTCAGTGGCACATGTCGTAAGTAGATGAAGTCTGGCTGATGCTTCGTAGGCATACCAAATAATGTGAGGCGATCGAAGAACTGCAGTACACAGAAGATAAACCATTCTTAATGTATGACTTTGGTAATGAAACATTATCATTGCATCATATGCTGCTCTAAAACTTTCTAATTGATAAAAAAAACAATAACTTCTTCACAGATATGTAGGCTGTCCTTACCATGCGCATTCATTCCATTGTAAATACCAAGCTCAATGAATCATCTCTTGGTTATGGACTTTCTTCTTTCATTCATCCATCATTTCCAAAAATTATTGTACTTTTTGACTGATTCCACCACAGCATATATTTTCAATGCATTTCAATGTACACGTTGCCTGACCTTTGGCTGGATAAGGCTGCAATTTTCTGTTTTTTATTTGCATGGATGATTGTTTTACCTGCATTAAATTCTGCATAATAGCTGTCACTCAAAACAGAATATATGCCACAGAGGAACTCAAAGGACATTTAGAATATAATTGGGTATACAACAATCTGCACTGCTTGAATCTGATTTTATGTTATAGCATCTGTGGGTAGCAAACCTATGTAGACCCCCACCCCATAGCATAAAGTACACAAAATATCTACCGCCAAGACAATCTACTGCCTGAGAAATTGTTTGTCTTTTTTTAATTTTGGGGAGACTTCCTTATGCTGGGGTTTTTCATTATGTTTCAGATTAACATTGTAAATGTGTAGTGCAGCGCCCCCTTGCAGGATGGAGACTACAGTGCTGATTAGCTGAAGAAGTTCCTCTACCAGGATGTGCCAAAACCAGGTGAATTCTCTTTAAGGAATAAAAGGAAAACACGGTAATATTGGGAAGGAGAAGAACAGGCTCTGTAAATACTGGGAACACACTAGGGGCTAATTAACGTCTTCGTTTAGGCAGCCACACAATGTGGAGGCAATGTCTTCTCATGGTTTAATAAAGATAAGCAGCCAACAGAAGTCCTGTCGTCGATGAAAATAAAAGTAAACTAAAAAAGGTCTACTCCCTATCCATCAGTACACGATAACATCAATAAGATTACTCACAGGTACTAAAATGTGCATCAAAATGAAAATGCAAGAGCAATTGTTGGCCGTCATGAGAGGATTCACACTGACAATGTTTTTTCTGTTGTATGTCAGAATAGACTTTCTTGTATCTCTACATTTATTTTTAAGAGAAAAATAAACTAAATTTACCTGAATGCCTCTGAGAGAAGATGCCCCCATGTAAAGGAATACTCCGTACAAGACAGGCATGGGAATGAACTGAAGAAGAGCAAAAAGTCAGAGTGCTGTACGCTGTTTAGCATTAGGCTAAAATTAAATTAAAGCCTCACACCTTAAGAACTGATGTCATGAAAACAGAGGAGCCCATGAGTGTGAAGATCATGAGGCCCGTAATGCGTTGCTCTCTGATTCCCAGGAACTTGGGCTGCTCTCCAGGAGCCGAGCACTCCGATTCCAGTTTCAGGCTGTTGACATGAGTGATGGAGAGGACAGTGGCTGCCACAAACCATGGCAAGCCCATCAAAGAGCACACACCCAGCATCACCCCAACCATGAACAGGTCTAGGTGGTAACCACAGCCTTTCTGAGAACGAGAGGAACCAACAAATAAAGATGAAAACATTTTTTTTAACCTCTATTGTCATTTAGATGCCGGAAAAGTACCTTGAGCTTGTGCTCCTTTCTGTTGATGATAACAGCAGTGATCTGCTGGTCCATAAAGATGAGGATAGTACACAGTAGAGCTGGTATCACAGTTATGACGGCTGTCCACCATGGGTTAGGCCCCAGAGGGTTAATGAACCAACCCCGATCATCTCTGGTTGGCTAGGAAGTCAATAAAGCTTTAATATATGGATTCTGTCAACATTTTAGGAAACAAATTTGAATCGTGTTTTGTGCTTTGGCTCACCTTAAACACATTAGGAACCTTCAGTTTTGGAGACGGAATCCCTAAGGCATAATCAACCAAGACCATGGTGAGAATAGTGAAGAAAACTGCAAAGTCACTGATGACGGACCGCACCTGAAAGAGTGAAAGCTTGCTTAAAAAAAAAGAATCCATTTATCTATTACCAATAGCGAATTCCTTTTAATAATGCAGTAATTATGTTTGACCACTAGAGTGCGATCCTGCACCACACTACCAACTGCTATGGAGGGCACTTTTAAATCATAAAGGCGGAACAATGACTGGAGGCACAGTACCTTTGTGGGGAAGTAATTGCTGAACTTGAACTCCTTGAGAAATGCTGACATAAGGACAGTGGAGAAGAACAGTATGACACACCAGAAGAGAACATCAGGGACATAGGGCCCATGAGGGCCACAGGCGCTGCCGAAAAACTCGCCCCGCTTTTCAACACAGTCCTGCAACAAAGAGCAAGGCAGAATAGTTAAGACTTATCATATTAGCAGTACAAACAACAGACTGGGATCATGAGCTTTCATGTGCACCTAAAAACTTTGTGACTCAGTGATAAAATGTGCTTTTAGAATGATTTGGAGTGCTGTTTCATCCATCATAATCCATCATAATCCGCCCTAAATGCCCTCAATCTCGTCTGCTCTGCTTCCTCCATCTGGAAAAGCATGCCACTTTAAGATAACCCCCCCCCCCCGCCCCCCCAGAATTATAAGTAGCTCAAATGTTTTTGTCTGATACTTTTATGTCATGAGCAACATATCTGTTTTAGTTTGTAATTGGTTTTAAGTGTTACATATTGGAAGTGAAACATACCTTCACCTCCAGTGCTTCCCAATAGATTTCTGTGGCAGTGATGTTGTTGATCTCCCAGTACTTCGTAGTGGCATTTGTGGGATCTGATGGTTCGACGCAAGAACATCTGCGGCAGCAAGTGAAAGTCTGGGTAACTAAATGATTCCTCAACTATCTCCTGTAGCTAAAAGAAATCTACTTAAAATCACAAAAGTGCATCAATCAAAAAATGTTAACATACGAATATGTGGTGAGCTTAGCCAGGTTGTTGTTCTTGTTGAAGGGATAATGTACTCCCAGGTGGAAAAGTTTCTCCAATGCTTCATAAATGAATATGATGCAGATTAGCGATGCAAAAGCTTCCTCTGTGAAACGTGTGATGTAACAAACAAGAGAACTTGCATCTGTGGCCACCAGCAGAATACAGAGGAAAGCTGTCCAAAGACCTATGCAGGTTCTCAGTGAGAGATAGGACAAGCCATACTCCCTATGTAGAGATTCACAGAGAGAGGAGGCGTGATTATTCAGTGTGTATCGTGATGAATCAGATAAAGTCATCAGAGTGAAATGAGTTACCCACAGAATGCATTACAATGAAATCTGATAAACCCAAACAATGTGACTGTAAAGCTACACGGTGTGTGAAGTCAGTTGTCCGTTTGTAAGATCAGTCATGCAGGTGGCAGTATCATTTTAGAAAAACCTACTTGCAGAATTTGAACAATATCTTCTCAAACACCAGCACAGGGCCTGTGCTTCCCAGAATGGTGAGCGGCTGCCCAGCAAATAAGGAATAAGATATTCCCGTCAATGAGGCTCCAAACAGCGACTCAATGGCACTCTGGAACATAGGAAAGGACAGTTTAATAATTTATGGATAAAATGTAAAAATTCTTGTGCTATATAAATGCAGTATTATTTAGGTAAAGAATGCCACATTATATAAAATTATATTTAAAAGAAAAAGCTTACTATTCGTCCTTCTGTTGCTTCGCCGAGCAGGCCCCCAAAGGTGATGACAGGGGACATGCAGGCACAGTAGAGGAATAAGAAGGAGGCCACACACTGTAAATTCATACCATCAATGTAGTCAGATAGATAGTGGGGGACCTTTCGCTTAATATCCAGAAAGAGACCACCGAACCATCTGAGGAGAAACAAAAAGAAAAGAGACAGAAAACTTTTTAATTCCATTGTCCCTTTGTTTTTTTTCTTTTCAAACAGCAGTCTAAAAAAAAGTTTCAGCTTTCTTTTATTTTTTTCAATACTTTTATTTTCCATTCACTGTCCCCTTCCTAATCTTCTGCTCTTGGCTTGGTGTGATGGTTTCCTACAATGGAAAAGTCTAGCTGCAAATAGAGATCAGAAGAAAAGGATGTTTCCATGGAAACCACTTCATGACTGCAACTACAGATCAAGTTTCCAAAGAAATAGCCCATCAGCATCAGAGTGATCAGAAATGCTTGATTTCAAAGAAGCTTAAGCTTGAAGCTTAAATATTCTTTTTTATTCTTGATCCTTCAACTCAAACATTATGGAAAAAGTGTATTGCCTTTTGATGAGATGGGCATTTTAAGGTCAGCTTCAACAGGAGCACTCTGAGCAATCAGAATATCAACGCCGAGGAAAGTGTAGTGTCCTCAGCTTAAACTGACAGGAGAAAACGGAGTCCAGACATTTTCACTATGTGGATATAAGCGTGACGAGACGTTCTTGTGGTCTAAAACAGGTGGCAAGTTGCTTTTACTGCCTAAAACACCCTATAAAAAGCGGCTGTGTCCAACATTGGACAGACATTCTCTGCATGAAAAGTTCCCTCTAAGTGTTTGCTCTTGCAAGACAACACGAACTGTAAATTTATTGCAGTTTGAAGCTTCAAGGACTGTGAGGCGGCCCAAATAGTTGTTAATAAATTCTTAGCAGAAGAATTATACCTTAAAACAGAAACAGTCACATGACATCCTAATTTCTGTCAACAGATTTAATGGGAGACTAATCTCTGGTGATTTGAATACTCTTCACCAAATCCTTTTAAAAGGTTGTTCTTTCCGGGGGGACTTTTTCACCTTCCGGTACGCTCTAGTTCTGGACCACCGTGGCCACCTTCTTCCTCCTCCTCCTCACCCTCCACTAATCCATTTGATAACATGTTGCTTTTCTTCCTTTTCTCCTGTTGACAAAAAAAAAAAAGATTTTACAAATCCAAACGACTTAGAAATCATGAAAAACCTAAATGAGACCAACTAACTTCGTACTGACCTGCGAAGGTACATTTTTTGGTGGCTCTATCCGAATCGATGGATCCCATTCTCCTGGGGGAAGGACTGTTACTTGATCGAGGAATTCATCGATCCCAGCAATCAGATCATTCCGGTCCTTAGCTTTGTAGGCAACATCATGAAAAACCTAAAAAATAAAGAAGCTGTAATTGATGGAAATTTCTTACAGTAAATGGGGAAACACTTCATTATTATCTTCCAGTACATTTTATTTTAAGAAGTACTCTCTCTCTCCTCATAGGGGCATTTTGTCATGCTTCATTTCTTAAGCATGACATGTGAAATGTGAAATCCCAATCACCACTCATTATAGACTAGATAAAAATACAAAGTAATCCCTGCACAGCAACACTGCACAGCTTCTGCAAGATTTCAGCAGCCAAAAGGACGCAAGACAGATGCACAGTGGAGAATAAAGCTAAAATCTTTTGGGATTTCTAGTTAGGGTTAGTGAGGCCTACTCCCACTAATCCACAGAAAATCAGGGAAGAATTTGCTTTGTCTGAGGAAATATACCGAGTAACAAATTCCACATGGAATAGATCATATTATAAAAAGGGAATTATTTAAAAAAACTAACAGCTGAATTCCCTTCATTCTTAATCAGTGTAGATTAAGTTTGGTTGGTTTGGTGTGGAAAAACACTCGTTTTAACATGTTTTTAATTAAACAGGTACTTTCACATTCAAGGACCAGTTTCCGCTGCAAACTTTGAATCCTGTTGTTGGTGATCTATTTTTAGAGCGAATGAGCTCAGTTCTTCCACCAGTGTGTGGCTGGCAGAAAGGTCAAAGGTCATAGAAGGATGAAATGCAAGTTCTAGAGAGGAGGTTGTAATTTCATTTTCAGCACAGATTCTGTAACTCCAATTTTAGCTTCTGTTAATTAGCTCCATATAAAGCTAAAACTATTTTAAATGTTTTCTCAAAGATAAAACTCTTTTTTACTTTGCTTGTTTGTCTGTTAAATGTCTCCTAGTTCTATCATTTCTTAACAGATATCTTCTAGTAAGACTGCAGACTTTCTCGTAGTTCCCAGCCTCCAAAGATTGAAGAACCTTTGGGAGCTGAGAACCTTTGGAACCTTAATAATCAACTAAGTAAAGTTGATAACAATTAGCTGGAATTACTCATTAAAGTGAGGCTATTTTTCTTGTCATGACAATGTAAAGTGTTGACAAAAAGGAGCACATGAGGGCTGAGTAATCGCCAGAAGCAAGTTATGAAAGCTATGAGCTGTTTCACACTTTGAAATGTTCCACCACTTCAGGAATTTGTTGAGTTCTGCTGTGCTGTGAATTTATTAAAAATGCACAAAATCTGAATTTGACATCTAGCCGATATTAAGAATATCACATCACTTTTCGAAACATCCAAAAAATCTCGAAGAATGGAATACCATCTTTTCTGAATGAATCCTTACCTCATCTGTCATAAGTGTTGCAATGGACCTTCCGATTTCATGGTACTGAGCCCCCCTTCCAAAGGGCCCTAAAAGAATAAAGAGAAACCTGAAGGCAAAAACACATTATATTTTTAATATGCTTTTAATTGCCGTGAGGAAAAGTGAATGAATTGTAGTATGTTTACAGTGGCATCTTATTCAAATGGTAAATGTCAGAATGGGTCCGCTAAATTCAGCAGAGAAGCTTAACAGGTGTAGTTTAATCAGCCCTCAGCAACCTTGTGGTAATTGGGACCTCAGCCAGCCCATTGAGCAGGACCGCGGGGGAGAGGCGAACAAACGCCACCACAGGCTTGTTCAAAAAGTCCAGCTCTCCCACCAACACGTTACACGCCTCTGCCCCTGCTGGGATCTTCTTCATAAAATGAAGGTCTATCTGAAAGAGGACACAGTGAGGATCATCACATAAAAGGTCCTGTCACCCTTTCACGATAGCTTAAAATCTAAGCAGCTTTAACTACAAGGATGGTTTTAATAGTAGTAAAAAATAAAATAAAAATTCAAAATCACTTCCATGGCATGCATATGAAATGGTTATTATTTTTACTGTTTATCCTCCCGTTAATCCCCTAATGTCAGAGTTTAAACTGGCTTCTCATCTAAATATAGTCCAGCTGTATGGGCTTTGTGTGTCCCAAAAGTCAAATGCTTCACAGATGTGTGAATGAAATATTACAAAACATGGATATTAGTTTGTGACCTATTGTGTAACAATTTGTAAGGGCCTATTATTTCCATAGTACAATTATATGTTTTTGCTCCTGAACCAGATACAAGGACTCTGTCTGTGTCTGCTTTCACTCTTTGATAAAACGGAATTGCATCGTGGGGAGATTTTTTTAGGTTATTAAAGATGCCGATGTTACATGGAAAATCTCAGAGTTGGGAAGTAGTTAATAGAATTTTTGTTCTTTCATAGAGCTCATTTAGCAACTGAATCTATCAAAGATGCCTGGCTGATAGGCCATGACTTGCTACATGGGTAAAAATGGCACAGATTAAAAATAAATAATTACATGGAATTCTGCATAAGTGAGTAATAATCTGCAGCTGACCCGGAAATGTAGGCACTGTTAAAACATTCAGAGTAGTATTATGAGATAAACGTTTCTGATTTCCTCCCAACTGCTATGAATATACCCTCAGAGCACATTAAATTATTATGTCAGTGAACAGGAACACACAAACGTACTTCAAACATTGTATGGCACAAAAGGTTAAACTCATATACATTATGCAAAAGGGTTTCAAAAAGGATTTTGTCTTTTGTCTTTAGTGTGTGCGCTTGTTCTCTTTGTTGACTGACTTTTTTAATACTTAACGTGGTTATAATCCTAATCCTTCAGTAGGTGGCCTTTCTGTTAAAAACAACCTCTTGTCCATTTATCCAAGCATCCAGTTACATAACAGTGTGCTCATGTTGTCAGATGTGACATACTTATTCTCATATGGACTATTGTTACATAAACATGAAGGTTGAATCCATGTTTAAAACATGGTGATACAGTATCATCACCAGATCAATTATTGTTAAAAGTGGACTAATTTTGTATATATTTAAGATTTTGAGTTGTTCAAAATGTTTGCAAACTTACTAAATTAAAGTGTTCTCCTAAAGAGCTTGCTTACAGCTATGAGACAGCGGCTCGGAGTTCAAAGTAAAAGTAAGAAGCAATGACTCTGTTTAAGTACTACTTACTGCACCGGCTCAAAAAACACAAACCTACCTTGCTAAAATCCACAGCACTGTTTTCTCTACTGACTTCTGTTTTGCCATCTGGAGCAGCTAACTGAGACGAGGATGCCGTCATCTGACCTAGACAATTCACAGCAGAGAATCATGAAACTGTTCCACAACATTCTTCAGCATCAGCTGTCCTTCAGTGACCGGCCGGTCAGTAATAAAAACGTAAATTTACAAACAATTCTTTGGAATTAACTCCACACAAGCATTCCTGTGCTGCATTAAAACAATAACCAGGCTATTCCATGTCATGACACCTGAATGGTGGATCTATTCATCTGTATAATAAAAAATTAATACTCATTTACAGTAATGATGGCAATGCAGTCACACTTGATGCTGTTCATCTTACCAACAGCTGATGCTTGAAATAAGAATTAAAATGCAACACCAGGGATATCACATCGCTCACCCACTAAGGTTTCAGGTGGGTTCTGTGATTCCATGAAAAAATATACCTACAAGTTAAAGCTGGCGCGATAAAAGTAAAAAAAAACACTTTCAGTTACAAGCTTTTCTTAGACCAGATAAACGACAGATTCAGAGCAAATGGTGCTAACTGCTAACACATTTTTCTGTTGTATAACATGGCAAATGTTTGATTTAATGCTATGTTAGCCATCACCTAAAGCTGTGGGTGGCAGATAGAACTAGGCTGAAGGAAATTATACTTATAAGTTTTAACCATTAGTTGGAACCTTCTGACCGATCAAAACGGAAAGGCCTAAGACAACTTTTCATTTCGCATGTATTTCAGCATCCGATCGACATGCCTAAAAAAAAATCTGCACCTAAAGCAATCCAGCACTTAATGAAGCAGCTTGAGTTTTCTCACCATTCTTGTCCAGATGCTGCTCAGATGCTCGTCGGCCCATGTCAGCGATGGAGCGTACAATAGGTAGTCGATTGGCCAACTTCTTCTGGTTCTGGTGATGGTGTTGCTTTAAAAGGGTTTTGCGCACTTTCCGTCTGAGCTCATCTCCCAGTGGTGAGTACAGCTCCTGGTGGTCTAACACCATGTCTGGAGTGGTTTTTATTTTGTTTATTAAAAAAAAAACAAAAAAAAAAACACAAGCTATTATTATTATTTGCATTTTCAGTTTCTGAGATTTTGGTCTAATACATTTGAGGTTTGTCTGGCTCATCAAATAAAATCATTGTCTTGCTGACTCTCTTTGCTACAGTTACCTGCAACATCCTCAATGCCATTGGCTTTCATATCTAGCAGCACAGTGCCATTGATGATACAGCTGCGCAGTTCAAAGAGGCTGTGCAGAGACAACGTGGCCACGTAGGGTTTGCTCCAACGCTCTCCTCCGTCCTCCACATCCTCCTCAAACTTCAACCACCTGCAAGAGGAGTTTGAGTTTCCATCAGGAGGCACAAGCAGACAGCACACTGGGTTGCCATCTGTTCTAGCTGCAATTACAGCACATTTGTTCTAATGCCCTCACATGTAGTTCTTGTACCTATTTTTTCTCTCAGCTTCACTCATTTACTCTCCCTCCTTATTGCCTTTCATCAGATTATCAATGTAAATAAATATGTCTTATTTACCCTGTTAACACATCACCATACAGCATTTTTTGCAAGTTTGTCAGAAATGCTAAAAATATGCAAACCCATTAATTGCAATAACATCATTTAACGGAAAAAAAAGGACAAATTTTGGGAACGGAGCCATGATTCATCTATCTGGTGGATGCAGTGTTGTCCATGAGAATCTATAGTACCTAGCACTTTCCCTCCACTCTGAATCCTCTCCATCCTTTAGACAGATCTCATCCATCTCTGTGAACAGGTCATGAGGAATGTGCTCCTCATCGTCGTCCTCTGCCCCCAAAAGAAACTGCACTCTTTGGGAGGGAGTGTCTGGAAACACAAGAAATTCCATTGAATTGTAAAAATGAAGCCGATCGTACCAGCTTCTTTAAGTTTCAACATTGTAATGCATGCAGAACCATGTTGTGGCCAGTACCAAAAAGGGGAGACTCCCTGCCCTCGTCCAAGGGGAGGTTGAGCTCCCTGCTCCTCCTCCTCCAGTGCTTGCTTCCATGGTGACGATGCCTGCGATGGCTGCGGTGCCTGGTACTGCCCAGTGGGACATGGACCCCAATGTAGAGAGTCCTATGGCCTTGTGACAAATCCCACAGTAGGTGATGGAGAATCAATAACAACACATCCATTTCTTGTGTGTGTGTCTATGTCTCCATGTACATTTTCAAAGTTAATCACAATTTCTCAGATCATAGCCGAGCATTGTTGTCCACGTGCTCCTTCATACTGATGATGACTGATCCTTAATTTGTAGGCATTATCTTTTTATCTATTTATTTTGCAGTTGCATCTCTACAATCTTTACTTCTGAGAAACTCTGCCTCTTAGTGATGCTCTCTATATGCCCATTTTTGTAATTGGCCTGTTGTCAATTAACCTGATTACTTGCAACATGTTCCGCCAGCTGTTTCCTATAAGTACCACTTACTATCTTAGCCTTTTATGCTCCTCACGCCATCCTTTATGAGGGCATAGGGGTTTAGAGTGTGTTTGCATTAAGTTTAAAGACTGAACATAGGCACATAATAAAACTAAAAGTATATCAAAACTTGATTGGAACATTCACACACTAATTCCTAAATACCTAAATGAAATATACTCCTATAACCTATATAGCCAAAAACCAAGAGTTTAACCGACAGCTGAAGCTGTGATTATGTGGTTTGCCGTCTGCATCTCCAGATGTCTATATATGTAGCTCCTGACATTTAGGTACCTTAACTTGCACTTATTTGTAACCATGTTTTGATCATCTGTGTTTTTATGAGTGAATATTATTGATGTAACATCATCTCCCCCACAGTTTCTGCCTCCTACTCTGCTCTTATCTTTTGCCAGTTTAAACACAAAAATGCAAAGAGAAAAGCAGCTGTTGGGTGGACAGAGTGGGTGGACTCAGAAGCAGCTTCGTGCTGTATGTACCTTCGAAGTCTTCCTGCTCAAAGTTTGCTCTCTGCTGGGACCTTGTTCCTCCCCGGTCAAGCACCGCTTCATCATCATTCCTCTGTCAGACACAAAAAAGCATGCACATAAAAAGGAACATGTTGACATTATCCTCGTCATTCAGGAGCCCAATCACAGTTCCCCACCAGCATGAAACTCTTACAGCATTCTATAGTCTCATGAACACAGCATTATAGAAAATCTTTGTTGACTTGGTGTTCCCTCACAGTTGAGGGCATTACGAACAAACACATTATCCCCCACTGCATGGCGCAGTTGTCTTGGAAACTAATTGCACATCTTTATCATGTGAAGGAAGGGGTCTTAGGATACTCCAAACAGAAAGCTTGTAATTTGAATGCAATGTATCACCAACCTACGATTACCGTTTTATGGTGTGAAAGCAATCCGAGTTCCTCAGTTCATATGAGTTACGTCAAATTAGTTAGCATTTATGGAAGGTAAAGTGTGCCAAATCACAATAAATAATTGACTCAAATAATTATTTAAATGTGTCATTTTAATAAAACTTTTATAAAAACACAAATATATTACACATATATAATCAAATAGAAATGCATCAAATACATATTTCTTTCATTTTAACACATATAAATATTTCATTATTTCACTAATTATATCATAATTTATTTAATCTGTCACACACCCATCAAAGTCAAGAAGGCGGGATTTAGGCCAAACGCCCGAGGATGATTGGTCTTCTAGTCTAAGTTGGCAACATGGCGGCACCCGTGGTGAGTAATTGGTTAAGTTTCTATTGAGTTGAGGGGAGGCGTTTTGAAACTGACAGTTCTATTATAAGTGGGACACGCTCACCCGGGTTATGTAGCTGTAAAGTTTGCAAGAAATTATAAATATTCTTGGACCTCTTTTTGCTCTTTTTGACATTGAGCAGAGAGTAATTACCTTTTTTTTTTTTTTTAAAGGCTCTCTAGCACCTCTCCGATAACATGGCAACCCAACAAAACACTGTCCAGGAAGGTTGGCTTCTGATAGTCAGTCTCTTGATCTGGAGGATTATCTGCAGTTCGGGCTTCCGAAATAGCAGCGAGTTTGGCGTCTCAAGAGGGACCACCAGGCGTCGACTGTGAAACCAGCCTGAGGTATTTTAATTTACTGCTCTTTAATTTAGCAGGTGAGTAATGGAATTTAATCAGTGAAGTTTAATAAAAGTTGTCATGTCTACATAAAGATACAGAAGAAAGAGCCTTGTTACTTTGGCTGAAACAATAAGAAAGTTTAAACATAAGTGAGCCATTACAGCCTTGTCTGGCAGTTCACATCAATTAAAAGTAGCTCTGAAACAGACAGAAATTGAAAATATGCTAGAAAAGACGTTGTAGCAGCTAATAGGCTAACAAGCTACTAATTGCTCTGAAGTAATGCTGTAAATAGTTAGCTCTGTTCCGGCACATGCACATTCCACGTATTCTTTTTAAAAACAGTCAAAAATATTGGTTATTTTAGTGTGCTCTAAAATTCACGAATAGTAAAGTAATATCACTCAGGTAACTTACCTTGGAGAGGTGCAAGGCGTTAAGAAGCAACAGGCACTTGCTCTTTCTGTAGCCTAATGATGGAGGGTGTTTTTATTATGCCTATTTGTTTCTTCAATCAAATTTCCTGCTTCTCTCAAAAGGTCTGGATTTGATTTATAACCTTGCTCATGTGGAGTAAAAGTAGGGTTTTGTCCTAACGCAAAATGTTGTTATTTTGTTGGCGCCTTCCAGGCACTGTGCCTCACGTTCGAGCTTGTTAGCGGTTTCTGGCGTCATTGTCTTAGCAGTTTAACCAATCAGGAAATAGGGCGTGTCTAAAGTTCACAATGACATGAAATAAGTTTAATCAGGAGAGAAATGTTCTTTTTAAAACAGTATAAATATGTTAATTTGAGGCACATATATTTATCATTTTATTTGTTTAATGAGTAATTTATTCACTGTATTTTGGCACATTTCATTAATCTATTTCTTATAGTAGGAATCTTAACCTAACCTTAGACCAGCAATCACCTCTGTGTGGCCATAGGTTATTGTAAATTAGATATACACTACACCAAACACACACCAAATACACATAAAAGCATTTTAACACAGATCAATTAAGCTTTAATAAACTGCTGTGATATCAAATGACTGTTTCATTTAACACTGGATGCACTATGAAAACATGAAAATGATCTTTGCAAAAAGACAATTAATCTCAGGGAAATGCTTGTCAGAACATGAGAACATGAGAAATTCATCAGGCTTGTTTGAGCACAGAATATGGATCTAGCTAATTGGATTCCGATATCAAAGAAAAACAGTAGTTTCTGCAATGACCACTGGCCTGCTCGTCTGCTTATGTAACACTCGTGAAAGGAGATGAGAGTGAGGAGGTGGTGAGCTGCTTTTGATAGAATGCTCGGCACTTGCCATTTTTCATGACGCAGTGTGAGAAAAGATAAAAACTGAATATTTGCTTTGAGCTCTTTCATTTATAAAAGTGGAAGCTCTCTTTGTATCTGTTTGTGTATTTCAGATAATAGATTAAATCGCTGTGTTTTAGAAAGAAAAATGGAACATGTTAAACTGTGTAGCCTCAGTCACAATGAAGGAAAGCACAGCACAGAGGGGACATATCCAGTGTACCGTATGGGCCAGAGTAGCTGGGGTTAAAAGGCCACATCCCTTCCATCTATATGCAACACACATGCAAAAATGCGTGCAGAGGTGCAATGGTGTATTTGTGGCAATGAGCTAAACAAGCTTCAAATGTATGAAGAAAATCAAATTCTCTTGTATGTCTGTTATTCAGTAAAGATGTGCAGCATTTAAACAAGTGGATAAAGGAGACAACCAGCATTACGTTTTTAAAATTGACAGAAATCTACAAGCTCCATGAGATCTAGTCTGTGTTAATAGCAGAAAAGACTTTTAACACAAAAATCTGAAGTTTTGTTGGATTTTTTCCGCAAAAGTATTCATTCACACCACATGGACACTTAAAACAAACTGACTTATTCATTTTTGTACCTAAGAAGTTAGCTAATATAAAACAAATATAGGCACACGTAAAACAGTGGAAACTAGTCAACGACACACTCATCAGTCTGATTAGTGTGTCAAATATTTGAATAATGTAAATATTGCTAAAGAATGTACGGATTTCTCAGCCATGCAAAACTGGTGTGATGCTGATTTGTGATATTATCTGATGCCATGATTTACAACAATCCCCTGTATAAAAAGCTTACGGCAAACAAACGGGGCTCGTTAATACATTTGGTACGATTTGTGGCAAAATGTACCAAAAAGAGAATCAAAACATTTGTTCCAGTAGGTATTTTTATCCTGAAAGCCAGCATTACTCCCACTCCTGCCTGAGCCATCTTGGCCACCAGATGACCATTGAAGCATTATGATAATGAAGTGAACTGCTGTTCACAGCTGCAGTGCCACATGGTCCGGCCAGGGCACAAAGCTACAGGAGATGAGTCAACAAGCCTTCTGAGATTAAATTTAAAGTCGCTGACATTGAAATACCAGCTATTATAGCCTCTACTATATATTCACTATGTTCATATGCACTATTAATGATCGGTAGATTCAGCATGACCTGCCCCCAAGTAGAATGCGTAATTCCAGGAAAGAGCCTAGTGCACGATTATGTATCAAACTATCAAAAATGATCAGGATCAAAATTGTAACATACAAACACACACACAGACAAAGCTGTGTTGCTGAATCTAAATGGATGATGAAAGACCCACTAGAATGTCAGTGCATGCAGACTTTCATCCCACTTTCAGGTTGTCTTGTGTTTGGGAGTTATTTGTTATATTTTAAATACAACAATATTATGCTTACTTTTCCAGTCAGTGTCACCGGTGATTTTATTATAGAAATGAACAGCTTTACCCTGAAAAATCATGTTTAAGGACTGGCACACCACATAGATTAAGGATGGGGCACATTCTTGGATCTGATCCCTACAGATGGCAGTGGCAATTCTGAAGCCATCACCGGCAGCACGGGCTTTCATGTGCTTTGAACTTCAACAGCCTGAGAGGGAACACATTAAAAGCTACCAACCAAACTATTCTTTACACCGAGCTTTTAGCCATCATTTGGCTTCCTAATATCAGCACACATTTGTAGTTTTACCTGTTTAGTCAGACAGTTGGTGCTTATAAAGACCAGCAGAATTCTATCTTAAATCAGTCAATCAAACAGACTTTTATAATGCGCTTTTCCTACTTTTTTTTAACGTAGCTCAAAGTACAGTCTTGTTATTTGACATCATACATTCTCTGTTTGCTATTTGGATTTGTCACTCTTCATACAGCAGTTCGCACACAGCAAATCTGGCACGCCAAAACACTGCAAAGTAAGCGCTGGCCTACCTCATTGCTGAAGCACCAAGGAAGGTCTAAATTCTCAGACTGCATGAGCTGTCCTTCTGCGCAGTTTGTTCTGTTATCAGTTTGGACAGAGTGGGACACTGTCTAAAAGCCGAGCTCACAGCAAACTCCTGCTGCCCCGCTTCACACCATGTCTGATAAAGGCTGATGTCCCTCTGTTGTGTCAAACAACTGGAATTTGGGTTTGAGCATCCATCTGCAGTGCCACCACTCTCTGTTCATGAGATTATAGATTATGCTGCTGCTGCCCTGCAGCATTTTACCCAAAAAAAATAAGCTTGGTTTATGAAGAGCCTCAACTCTCTACTGAATGATTTAGGAAGAAAAAAGTTTTTAAAAAGTGTGTTAATCTAATGAATTTAGCCCAGTCAAATCAAACAGATTTCTTTAGACCTACTATTAAATACTTTCAGATCTTTAAGATATTTATTTGAAGGATTTAAGTGTGTTATCTCAAAGGATATGTTTGTTTCTAGCTTCTAAAAACTGTCCCACACATTCAAAGGAAAAAAAACTCACCAAACTTCTGCGTCCAACTGAAGATGAGAAGGAGGAGTTTCCCTATAAGAAAATCAAATCTTTGAGACAGTGATAACAGACAATCTGTCTCTTTACAGTTCAGTTCACAATTCCCTTTCTTGTTTGGTTTTTTTCTGTCCAACAGTCAAATGGAATACCACATAGATTCTAAATGCTTGAGCATTTACCAAATCAGGTTATGACCTGACATTTTAAAGCCAAAGCTCGAAACCTAGTTTCAGATAAAACATTTCCCCCTCTAAATGGAAAAATCTGTTTTCACATACACAGTTGATGGATAATAACAACAAATCTCCTCCATTATGATCAGCAAAGACCAGTGAGAATGGGCTCTCATCACTTTGCAAATATCCCCCGTGAGGTTTTTGCTGTTTTTCAGCCAAATTTTTTCTATTCATCTTCAAAGATTACAGATGATTTTGACCGAGGGAGATTGATCCTTTTTGCATAAACATTGCACGTGCCTCAGTAAATCTGCATAACGATGATTTCTGTCTCATTTAATTGCAAGACAAATACATTTGTAACTGAGATAGGTTATATAAAAAACAAATAACTTGTGTTGCACATAAGAGAAGAGGAAAATGTTGCTTTTGAGAGTTATTTTTGGCTGGATAAAACATGGGTCAAATAAAATAAATCTCCTGTGATTTGAAGTTATCCCTCTCTGGGTATGAGAGTGTGGGTCATCGTCTGTGAGAAGCTCTAAGGGTGACCACAGCTGCCCACAGCTCCACAGGTAGCATCGTCACTGGAACTGCTGAACTGACCACTTTGACTCAGCCTCCTGAAGATTTGTCCTATATTAAGCAACACCTGTCACGCTCTCAGAACTCCACTTTGCAGACGTAGCGTTCAAGTCACGCCAAGCTTGACATGCTGACATTCGCCCCCGAAATATTCATAAGCACTGAATCAATACTCGTCCCTTGAGATCGAGGCTCTTTACCGATGGCAGCAGCAGCGGCTCTACCTGAGCTCCCTGGTCCCCGTTGTCCATCCTGCTCTCAGAAGTTGACCGGATACAAACAGAAGGAGCGCAGACCTCCGCAGCGCGTGATCCCGTCAGGTGGAGGTGGCGGAGCGACGCGGTCACATGTTTAAGTGAGGCTGGCTGTCATCAGCGCTCCCGGATGCTCACCCAGAACATGAGAACATGCGCATCTCCGCCGGCTGACGTAGTGCTGCTCTCCAGCGTTCAGCTGCGTCGCTGTGGGCTCAAAACGTGGGAGAGCAAGAGATCCAAAACCCATCAGCAAATACAAATGTTATATTTTCCCTTTGGCGTTGTTCTACAAACTGTATGAGACCCTATAATTTATTTTCATTTGTTCTGTTTTTTTTTTTCCCCAATACAACGTTACTGCAATTCAGGCTTATTTACAACTTTGTCCTGCGCTTTGTTTCCCTCGTTTTCCAGACGATAAATCACAAAAGAACAAAATTCGCCCTCAAACCACTTGTAGAAATACGCTTTTTGTTTAACTGGCGAGCAAATGGAAATGCAAGTAATAAGTTAGTGAATAGAAACCCCAATGGACTCATTCTCCCTTTAGGAAAGAGGAGAGGAAGTGTTGGAAGGGTTTGTTTTAGCACATGTACCTTGAAGATAATCTAAATTTGGGGCGAACACCTATGATTAAAGTCAAGATTTGATCCGGTTGGTTGTTTTTGGTCTGATTAAAATAAAAAAGTATGCCGTTTTGTACAAATTTCTCGTGACCTCGACAGTGAGTCAGTGCTGAGACAAACAGGGCATACAACCTAAATTCAGCATATATTGCTGTGGCCCCCCATGCCTGGAGGATGTTGGGCAGCTTCAGCCTGCAACAGTTCTGCCATCTAACATGCAACAATGGTGCTCTACACAGTATGTACTTGTTGGTTTCCAAAAAAATTACCTCAATAACTCAGATTGCCCTCATCTTAAAATGTTGTTTAAAGTAAGGGCTGTCTTTAATAACAGAAAACAATTAAAAGACTAACACAACACAGAGACTTAACTTTGCATCTGAAAATCCTTATAAAACCACAGACTGACATGACACTGCCTATTTAATCTGTAAAGACATAAATAATAACACATCAACAGAAGAGCACATTGAAATACTTCAAAACTGTAAAAGAAAAAGTGAAACGGCAACAAAGCTAGACACAAAAATTCTAAATCAGTGAAAATAATGACACATTGAACAAATGCAGGTCAAGACATTCATGAAACTCAAGAGAATATAGTCTATGACAGAAATCAATTTAAAACAACAACATTAATTCTAAATTCCTCCTGAAAAGAGATGGAAGGTCACAAAGAACTGCTAGATACATCAGACATTCAACGGCAGACCAAAAACCAAAATGTTATTCACAATCATGGCCTAACATGATATGTTAAAAACAAATATATACTATTTTCGGTGCATTCACACCTGTCCTTTAACTTTCCATTGTGGAGTTCCTGGGAATGCAGTTTAGGTTAATGCTGTATTTCTGTTATTTGTCTCTTTTGTTTAAAAACCTGTGCGAAGAGTTTCATCCTCAGGGTCGGTACTGAGGGTTTAGCACTGGAGCAATCTCTATAACTTCATTGAGTCAAATAAAAAATCACTTGCCTTTGGAATGGCCTTTGGACCATAAACTGAGGATCTGTTCTGCATTCACTTATCGCCATCTGCTGTTTATTTCTGGGAAGGTCTATTGCTGATAAAAAGATAAACGCCACACCTCTTATTGACAGCTGTGAGCTTTTCCTCACACTGAATTCCAGTCAGCTGCACATTGAGCCCGTTACGCATCACTTTAAATCCCTCAAATTTATACACTCTCACCCCTATCAATTGAACAAGTGTTGAAAACTAAGTTTAAAGCCTTTTTTTTTAAGATTTTCAAACCCACGCCTGTAATATGTCGCTTTGCGGGTGTTTCCATACGTAGTTCTCCTGTCTCGTGCTTGTTAAACGCTGCTGCTTAACGCATTCTCACGCAACTCACAACGTGCCATTTACTTTGGAAGCAAAAAAAAGAGAAAGAAAGAAAGAAAATGAATCTTCACAGTACTGTGTGCAACTATGACCAAAAAAAGACATTTTACAATATTTGGCAGTCTTGGTGGCAATCCAACCAAATGTCGAGGCAGCATTTGTTGATTCTGGAGAATGCGCAAAGACGCATTAAGATTGGGAAACACTTCGAGAATAAATTATCCCATGTCCTTCTTTTTAAGAGGAGATTTATTTAGCCATAGTGTGGGCCATGCTAAACAGCAATTTCAACGTTTAGATATTTCTTTCATACTGGGAGTACATCTGAGAACACACTCCGGAGCAAGTCTTTCGATGGTTGTCAACACGACTGTCAGAATAGAGAGAAATTGGGCGATCAGTCTTCAAATTATTCAGTCACAGAGTTTTTTAGTGACGTGAAAGAATTATTATTTCCGTCGGTGTCATATAAACCTTTTGGAATGTCTAAAAGGATTCTTTTAGATGTAAAACAATGCCAGAACTCCCACGGGATGAAGTCAAACATATCCTGACTACAGTTAACATCATTTATTATGTTTAAGTCACGTTACAGCAGATATACAGAGATTCCACAACAGCATAGCATACAGGCTATGAAAAATAACAGGGGAAAATCAATGGAAATAAGAACCCCCTAAGTCTACAACACTTTGAACTTCTTTAACACATGAAGTAATGAATGTAGCAGTGATCAGTAACGCCATTTAGATTTTTCATAGCCTACTGCTTTGATAAAGTACAAAATACATTTTTCCTCACTGACAGGGATTATTATGCCAGCATATGCTACACAAGACCATTTCATGTACAGACTCCTAAATATGTTCAGTTACTAACAGTTTGGGCTACTTAATAGAAGAGAGTTGGCTTTGAAAACACTATGCTAATTATGGACGCCATTTCATCTTATTGTGTGTACATTAAATCACTATCACGAATGTCCATTGGTATTTACATTATATTCATAATTACAGTGATTCTGACTCAACTGTGTGGCGACAGGGCGCCCAATTTATGACAGAACCGAGAGGAAAATGTGCACTTTGGCCATTTACTGCGGAGGATAAAATACAGATAGATAGATAGATAGATAGATAGATAGATAGATAGATAGATAGATAGATAGATAGATAGATAGATAGATAGATAGATAGATAGATAGATAGATAGATAGATA